AGTATTACAACTGAGATCTTACAATACGTTATGTACCGTATAAGATAACCATAAAAAATCAGTGTTGTCAATTATATTGTGTGTTTGTTGGGCCACACATAACATAATCACGTTAAAGTTTAAAAATTAAGGCGGTTTTGCAAAATGAAAAATAAAAATATGTATACAAGCTTTGTTGTTGCTTAAAGTCGAAAATAGATTTATACGGGCATGAAACGCGCAGGCTTGACTATTTTTGATTTGGTCCTTCTGGGCGACAAGTCGTCGGATGATGCCAAAACATATAGTTTGTCAGAGACCAACAAAAAACAACGACTATCTTAAAGATAGGCTCACAATGCTATTAAGGAAATATAAATTCCTATGTAAGCAATTGGCCTAAAATTTTAAATCTAAAGTAACATATCTAACCGTGAAACTGTGTATCGTAAACGCCCAATTATATTTGATGCAAAATTACAAAAACGTTTAAGCTTCAAAATATTTTCGTTATTGATTTTGTGAATTTTGATTCAACTTTATTGTATAATCTGAATTTGTTGAATCAAACCAACTATCTCAAATAACGTTCAAGTATTATAGTTTATATTATTTTATAATAATAATTAATAATCACAAACATATTTACAGTAATAACACAAGTATTTCATTTATGTTCCCTAAATATTATTATTCCCTAAATACATTTAATAAGAATTCTATTTTAAAACATCAGACAAACATTATACATATAATATTTTTCACAAAATCTCAAAACCAAAAACAAATTTTAGTGAATTGCGTGCCGTGATTTTTTATTAGCAAATAGCAGCTATTAGGCGGGTGTGAGTATTGAATACAATGTGTATTTTAGTTCTAAAGATGTTCTCAGAAATGGATTCGAGATATCAGCGTGTATCTAACAAATACAATAGTAATAAGTAATAACACATAAAAATATGTAATTGTGCTGACCCAAATTATAATATTAAACGGCTATTAATAATTGACATTTGAGACACATTATTGATAATGTGACTGCGATTGAAAGAGGATAATGCGTTATGTATATGTATGTAAGTAGTCTGTTTGTATATTTGTTTTTTTTTTATTTTCCATTTAAGCTACCGAACCGATTTGATGAAATGTAAACTAAAATAATCTGTAAATTTGTTGAAGTGTTCTTAGCTAGGTTTATTATTATATTGGAATCGTAAGTAAAGATTAGTAAATTCAAAAAAAATTATCTCTGAATCTAAGAAGGTACTTAAGATGACTGGTGTTCTCAATGGCGACGTCTGGTGCAATGACCAAGTCGAGTATGTTTAGCTCTAATGCTGCTGATAACAGTTCACATCCCGGTCGTAAATCTGAACCTTTTTCGACAGGTTATTAGTGAATTTCAACTAAACCGCTTTACCAATTTTGTTTAAATAAAAACTAAAACATTATATTTTTAAACTTTTTGTTTGTTTAATAGTAGGTGTAAAATACAAATGTATTTATTTCCCTCTTCTTGAACAAAAAATTGTTTGAAACCTCTTAATTTTCTTGAAATAAGATATTCGAATATTTAAATCAATGTTGCAGTAGTCAGGGTCCCAAAAATGATTGAGGTAGGTAATAAAATATTAAAAAGTAAGCAAGAGACAAATTTCTAATTTGAACAATAATTTATTATTCAATGTTTCAATACCTTCTTAATTTTGAAGTTACTACTGCAACAATGATTTTTATATTATAATTTTAAAAAAACAAGAGGTTTAAAATTATTTGTTGTTTTTATTTTTTTACAGTGAGAAGGGAGGGAAATCTATGGTTTTTATTGAATATGAAATAAACACAAATTCGAGGCCTATTATAAACGGGTTCCTTATTGACCTTATGTGTTTATCAGAATATTATAATAACATATATACAATATTATATAACATTAGCTATTACATGTAGTCTTTTTGGACCAAGGTAAATATCTCTTTTATTTATTTATGTTGTATTCGTTTTTGCTATATTATGAGTAAATAATTGTATGATTATTTATTAAATTTTGCGCTATATTAAAGTATGAAAAACTAATATAGGCCGAAAGAGAAAAATTTTTTAAATGCATTCATGGGGATTGTCTTTTTATTTTTTTAATTTTATGTTAAAATGTAGAATGAATTTAAATGTTTATACAATGTAATCGTATGATTCTTTGTCGGTAATTAACCGGCCTTCCAAAGTAAGCTCTCACTTTTCACTCCGAAGAAAACAGTGTTATAATTTGTATCACAATTAAAAGTGAAAATGCCATTTTTGTTTGAAAACTACTACAAGGAGAGAGGTTGGATTCATTTAAAAAAATTTTTTTAATAGTTTGCATTTCACTGTTTTTTTTTTACACATAAAATCAGAAAAAATAATATTGTCTTAACATTTGTTTGCAATTTTTAAAACATTTCATGTATTAGTTATAGATATAAATGTATAATATTAAGGAAAAATTATTACTATTTGGCTTTATATATATTTTACTCTCTACCAAAATGAGATATAAAAATATTTTGCTAATATTTAATATATATTTGTGTTGCGAGTTCTAACTACGATAAAAATAAATACAATTTTTCACTCGTTGTTTATATGTGAAACGTTTGTTTTAATTTCTGTATCGTATCCGTAATACAATTTACGTGTTCAAATCATAATTAAAAATGATATATTTTTGAAATAATGAAATTATTTAAAAGAAACCTCCATGTGAATCAGTCCTCAAACCCAAATATTTTCTTTGAACAAAATACATTAAGTATTTTCCAGCGCGAATAAGTCACCTTTTATACAAATTTACAACTCAACATCGAATTTAGTCAATAGCATACAGGAAAACGGTTTATTTCCATGCCTATTTTTGTAAGGATGTAAATATAATCTTGTAGAACAAATAGGGCAATAGACACTTTATGGTCTATAAAAACGAGCTATAAAAAGTATCATTTGCCCAGTAAGTAAATCCAGGTCTGAAAAAATAAATCCACGTTATAGATCAAAAACACGATAAGATGGAAATCACACGCCTTAAGCATTAGCCGAAACGATGGCACAAACTTTAATAGGAATTTACCTTGAAGAGATCACCGAGGACCGTTTTGAAACCGCATGCATGTAATTGGGTTCATAATGTCGGAACTACAGTTCCAGAATATATTTCTATATATAAGTAATAATAATAATATTCAGTTGATTTAATTAAGTAGTGCACACATTTTACTCTACTTAATTAATTGGAAACTGGGATAAATATGAAAAACAGTTAATTTGAAAACGAGATAACTACCGTCTTTCGAAAACAGGATTAGTTCTTATCGAGCTGGTAGGTAAACCAGCTAATCAGCAATCCGGTTTACAGTAATAATTTTTTTTTAAGTCTATAAGAATACGTGTTGTTACTTGTTACATAACGCTAATTAGTATTGTCCACGACTTGCCACTCTGTTTTTCAAAATTACAGACCATTTACTGTGATGTCCATATAATTAAAAGAATAATTAGTCTCTCTTTATCCTTCTATTTATATGTATATACATGTATACTATATCTATAATATTATTGCACAACGTTGTTTCATTGAATGCTCGATTGAGTCGAAAACATTTTGCAAGATGTGATTCCTTTTTATAATCTGCACTGTTATTCGTTCTTTTATATGTGTATCTTAACACAACTACAGTTCATTATTCTGCTTAAGGTTACTCTATAGAAGTGGGATTATTCACCCTTCACACGCACTCATATCACCCGGATATCTTAAAACATCTATATCCACTCAGTCTTCAGTCTACCTCTTATATTTTTAATATTTTTACTCCAACCTCTTATAATCGTTTTATTACCTATTATATTTCCTTTCCATCTTTCAACATGCCTAAGCCTTTATCTTAATCTGTTCTGTCTAATATAGTAATATGTTCTGCTTTAAATCCCAAAATACCACAATTATTCAACATTTTCTGTTTGTCGATACTACCATTTTCATTTAATGATCAATAATCATTCCATACATCATTGCTGGTATCACTAGTTTTATTCAATTTATTTCCATTCTAATAATTGTCATTAGAAGATTTTGGTATTAACCAGTATTATGTTATTGAGTTAAGATAATGGAAGTACATTTTCAAAAACTCATTGCTAATATGATTTTATGACCTTTTAAACTTCATTTTTTTTTAATGATTTAACGATGTTATCTCTGTGGCCTACTTATATTTTACTGATTAAAATACAAGCGCCTATTCAATTGACATTATATATTTTCTAAATTGGATAATAAAAAATAATAATTTAGGTTTTCACACAAGCTAATCGATTTGGTTTGACGAGTCATATACTTTAATTGCAAACCAGGGCATCCTTCAAATGTCGATAAAATTACACTCTTGCAACGAATTACTGTGGTACTTTACAATAATAACGCTAATATAAAGTCCATCATAAATATTCGTTAAATAAATAGACATAAGTGTTATCAGCTATCAAATAAATAACGTCAGAAGGGCGTTCGAGTTTTCAAAAGGTTAATAATTCTAGTCGCGTAAATGTTCGGTCATACTAGAGTTCACTCAAAGGTATTAAAAAACTGATGGATTTTCTATTGTGTAATAATGAGATTGTAGATAGAACAAAATTTACCTATACATAATGAACATTTTATAGTCACAGCTATTAAGTTGTAGCTAATAACAATAAATTATTATAATACACGTTACAATTTCATATCTTTTTATCATCTACCGTTTTCAACATGACCTTATACTACGGAGAATACAAAGTTCAATGGTTTTTAATAATTAACAATGATTTCTAACAAATTATTATTATTATACTATCAAAATTTAACGAGGGGTTTAATTGTGATAGTTCGAGGGGGTACACGGTTGTGAACAAGTCTGAGAACCACTTTGGCGGTTTCGGTTCGGTCAAGTTGCTTCTAATGCTGATATTATTGTTTAATCGGACTTATTACGTTGTTTTTGCAGGAGACAAACCGTACACGGCGCCGGACCACCCGCACCAACAGTCTGGCCGACACGCGACCGACGCCAGACCGGTGAACTTTGCCGCTGCAGCCGGTAGACGTGGAGGTGGAGGAGGTAGCACTCACCATCATCTGCACCAGCAGCCGTACCGAGTCGGGGGAGGTAACTATGGGGTGTCCAACGTGGGCAGCCAGTCAAACTCCACCTCCACCACGACCACCACTTCCACCACCACTGTTACTTTCAACGAAGGTAAATGATTTTTACAATACTTTAAACACCACAAGTAGTTTATTTGTCAACACTAAAGTGCAGTACAAACTCTCCCGAATGTTTATTCATTTTCAAAAATCATCTTATTAAACTTTCTTTTTTTATTTTATATTCTGTCTTACACGCGAATCAATCTTCCAAAACGTCCAAATTCTTTAAATATTATATAAAAACATGTTATAAATAGGTATATCAGTTTGCACTAATCCATCTCATTCTTGGACTTCTCAGTTGTCTTTTCTCCATCACACTATCTCAGTCAAATAGATGTTTAACAATTTATGACACAACATTTCAAATATTTCTAACTTTATTTCTTCTGATATTGACTACATTTTGCATGCGTGTCCACTATCCATATAGAACCACATTGTTCATATAAAATACTTTCAAGTATTTCTTATTTGTATTTTTAATCACACTATTTAACTTTCAAGTCTTTGTAAAATTATTTTCATCGCGAAAACCATTCTTTGGTTTTGCCAGACACAAAGTCTTCTTCTTCTGTTATTCGACGCATTCGTTATTATACTAATATAGAGACGAATCGCACCTGTTTTCCTATACATCTTATGACTTGATTTAATTTTAATGCATCTTACCTGTATTCAATCATATTCCCTGAATTTTTATGTGTTTAAAACATCAAAATCGATAATGTCCACAATAAAGTTTTTAGTCAAATACTATGTGAAGTTATATTATTTATAAGATTAGGTATACTAGGATTGTAAATTGTAATAAGTAGTCTAAGAGTGTTCATAACTCATTATAATTCTAGACTGGTATTTAGTTTGTTAGTCAAACAAAAAAACAAAAATGAAAACGAGATGTTAAAAGTTTACCATCAAATCAATCAATAGGTGGTTAATGAACCGTTAGAATGCAAGGTAATTCTACTAAATATTGGTTTTAATGGGTTCTTTAAGTTTAAAATATGTTATTGTGTAACCGAAAGTATTCATAGTTTTTAAAAATGTAAAGGACGAAATTGGGTGTACACGTTGTACACGCAATGCTTCTAAAATAAAATAAATTACATTCTCTCAACAAACCGATATTTTTAAATTTCGTTTGATTTTAGTTTTTTTTTTAAACCGGTGATAATTTAAAGTGACCCCACCTTAGTCCCTCGCCGGTGGTAATTGGTCCAAATCCAAAATTATACATAGAGAAAAATGTTTGGCGACTCCATGATCTCCAAAGTAAAAGTTAACTAATTCTAGAAAATAATAAAAAGCTTTAAATTGTTTTTTGAGAAGTTCATTTCATTACAAAATATAGTTATGATATATTTTGTATAGATGATAAATCAAAAAGTTAGTAAATATTGTGCAAATGGTAAGATTAAAATGATTACTGTTGGCAAGTTTGTTAACATTATATAGTAATAATTCACAATGTTATGGGCCTCCCGACAACAAGTCTTCACTGCAACTGAGCAACTAAATGATTTATGAATATCTAAGTCGTACATTTTTTTATTGGCGTCGAGTGATAGTTGTATTATAATGTTTCGAAAAAAGCAAACTTTTTGTAATGAACAGGTTATTTCCGTACCTATGGTCTATCTTTCTGCGTCCGTTAAGGTTGAAACGAGTTTGACTGAATATTTCGTTTTATATTTTTAAATGTCGACCAGTGCACGTGTAAATGAGTTATTTTGAGACTGTACTGAAACTAAATAGCGTCCAGGAACGCCATAATGAATTAAGTACATTTGTCATGCTGCAGACATATCTTTGAGGTTTTTTACTGTTGTAGGCTTTTGTTTTTTTTTTTAATGTCGGTTGACTTCGTCGGACGCGTAAAAGTTTATTAGAAATAATACTAACATTTTATGGATCTTAAAGGCCACGAAATCGAATTAATTTAAACGCGTCTGCCGCTGGAAGCACGAGTCCTTGATTAATAATTGTGTTCTGTTGACAGTTTGATAGAAATATAATGACATATTCGACATAGAAATTAGAAATTACAAAATGACAACCTGTTTATCTTAATTCGTACTATTTGATTATTAGTTTATTAATTAAATTTAATAACATAATATTAGTAATATTTAAATATTTATGAAGTATGATTTTATTGTTTATGGAAAATATTAATAAAATAATGGAGCGGTATTTGATATTTTTTAGTAAAGAAAGGTTATGCTCTCAAAAAAAAAAAAGTAATTCAATTTATTTTTCTATAATTTATAAAAATGTCGTTTTGACGTTAAGTCACCGTACGTTTGATATTGAAAACGTTTTCTTAAATTTTTATTTTTATTTATATTCTAAAACGCTTTTTATTTGAAAAATTAAGTACCCACTATCGTCTCACTAGTGGCCCGCGTGACGCGATACATCGACGGACGCTTAATCCGTTCGTACTTAACGCACCCGCATCGAGTGCAATCCGATATTAAAAGCCCTAAATCATCAACCCTTTCTGTGGAAACCTTAGGAATACATGGGTGTGTTATTGTTTTCCCAACACATTAAACTGTTCGTCTAATGATAAACGATCGTTTCAAATAACAATTGGAGACCTGCAAGCGGAAGATACAAAAGGAGTAACTGAAATTTCCACTCTGGCACTTTGATATAAAATCGTGTAAACTCATAACCATAAGCGTAAGTGTCTTGTAAACAACAATTTTGGTAATAATACAAGGGAAGCTTAAACATACATTTTTAAAACTTGAAACTCGTTGGGGATGTAGATGTCGATAAAAATGCTATAAACTTTTTTCCCTTTTCAATAATTAAAAAAAATAATAGTAATCATTAGTATGAATAATATGTGAGGGGGAAAAATAAAGTTTAACGATTTATTATCATTTCACACGCGGAAAATAAGCTGTCTCTAGCACTAAGTAAAATTTATACGTATTATTTGTTATTTAACACATAAGTACATTTTACATTTTTTGGGAAACCGACTGCCAAATTATAATAAAATAAACAAAATATAGTTGTTTCATAAACTAATAATACTACTACATATCAATGTGCTGCGTTTATAAGAAAAAAATCGATATGGCCAAAATTGATTAAAACCACTTTTTTTTTAAATATTGCAATTCTAACTCCTTAAAAACTGTTTTCAATCCCCTAAAAAAATATATATGAAGGGCACAGGGGAAAAACGGCAGTAGTCACATTATGCATTTTTTTTTTCAAATAGTTTGTTTCAATGAATACATTTATTATTAGAATAGCATTTAATGTGATTTTTTTTTGTTCTTATGTAAGAGGGAGAGGAGTTCACGAACTTTTTTTTTGCTATAATCTAAAATTTTCATAATGTGACAACTACCGTTTTTCCCCTGTGCCCTTCATATATATATATATAGATCCACAAATCAAGACAATTTTACTTTAATTGAATATTTATTATTATAATATAAATGGCTGAATGTGATCTTTGCGACAAAACGTGTTTCAAAGTATGTCAAGTATATAATATATTTAGATTAGAAAATAATTTTCATTAGATTTGATTTTATCGGTAATAAATTGGAAAATTTTACTCGTATATGGAATACACTTATCGATAACAGGAATACATGTTGTTTATACCTAACTGAAAAGCAGAAGTAGACAAGCAGATTGCATGTAATTTGGATTGGCAATAATGGAAGAAAAAATAACTCAGTTGTCCTTCTTTTAACATTTTATTAATTCCCTTGCTAATGGTGAATTGGATTAAATGATAGACGCAAAAAGTAATCTGTTCGTATTTATTTGTTTCTGGCTAGATGAAAAAATCAACTTACAATAAACTACACATATTCTGACTGGGTTTAGTCCTTCGAATTAAGTAGATACTAAAATATTTTACTGTGGTCATGTGGGCTACTTTATTTGAACCTTTAAAACAGATTTATTTTAATTTAGGAAGGACTTTACTATACCTATAGAAAATTTGTTTTGAAAAAAAAACTTATTATTATTTTTCCCTTAGCTTATACACACCAGTGGCATAACAAACGGCATATATCATATAAAACAACGAGTACAAGTGTTTGATCAGTGTTGGTGTCAGTAAACCAAACTATTATTATACTTGGTATATATCATATAAATGTCTAGTCTGTGCAATAATAATTATAAGTGTTGCCTAACCGTAGACCGAAACAGATAATGGCTATATTAGCGCAGTAAGGTCGACACTGAGAAAATATATTATCTACATTTAATTTAATGATATAATATTATTCGTTAAAGTAGTCTAATGATGACAGGCAACGATTATAAACCTACTATGGATAATAAAATACTATAGTAGTGTGCACCGTTTTAATAAGAAAAAAACAATTTAACGACTTCCAGCTACTGCTTATAATATTGTAAACAACCGTTGAGTTAATTATGGACATTTTAATTGGGAGTTTGGGTCTCATGGTCAAAAACTTAACCGTTTAGTAATCAATCAAATTGGAAGAAAAACTAAATGAGGCGCTTAGAAGTCAAGGGACATAACTTACATTAGTTTTATGGTTATTTACACCCCTATTGGCTGTTGAGTTCCTCGAATAATATGTACTCTGTGTGAGTGTGTGTGTGTGTAGTACTGTTTAAATACAATATTTGTATTATAAATACTGTGTTTTTAAACTAGTAGAATTATACGGTAAACGGATGATGGTAATAAATATTAAATTAGACATCATTTATAGCGAACGCCGAACGTGTTGGGATGTTCTCGCACAACAGCCGCTAGCCGTGTTGAGTATTTTGAATCAACATCATATTGCTTCAGATGCGTATTATTATAATTTCAAATATTAATAATAGTATAATATTAGAGTTCTCGTTCTGAGTAACACTTATATTATCGTATAATGGGTTCTACGTTTCGGTTTAACAATCTGCTGGGCCGGGTTTCGAAAATTTCGTTCAAGGTCGAATCTTATTAAAGTTTAACGACGGTAAAATCGATATTCAGCTGCGCTTACTAAGTAATCACAAATTAAGAGCACGTGATCGATTCGCGAGTACAATAATAATATAATAACAACCACACTCAAATATCAAAGAAATTATTGGAATTACTATTATTTTTTTTTTTTTTTACAACCGTTATTAATACTACTTTGAACACATTTTTGCTCTCCTGCGGGCGATTAAACGATGGTGCCATAATACATCATAGCTGTCATTGGGTTTTAATTTTGGCTGTTATTATGAAAAACAACAAAACGTTATAATTTTACAAATAAATGTAATAATTTAATATTAAAATAAAACGAAACCCTCAACCAGCTATAATATGTTGAAGCGGGAGAATAATAATTAAATATGAATGCGTTTAATGAGTTGATTGATTAATATCATGTTTACGCTGAAAGATTAATTAGTAAAACCGTTTAATGATAACAGTTATCATTTTTGTTACGAGTCCCTATAATAATACCACAATTTGAGCATTGTTTGTGCAACAATTATGTGTTTGCGAATTGTATGAAATATTTATAAGTATGCTTAAATTATTGTCTTCCTCTATGGCTGTTTTTTTAAACTAAAAAATAAAAAATCGGCAAACAACATAAAATACATAAAAAAACCTTTTTACCAAGTTGTGTAATTTCGCAGAAAACGATGAGAAAGTTGTAAAAACAATTACAATAATAGCCCCGTACTCGATGAACGCATAGAAAAAAACTATAGATTTTTGTATTAGTAATGAAAAAAAAAATTTAATTCTTACCTATTCAAACAATAATTACGATATGGTACCTCTGTTTATACCCATACGAGTAGTAGGTACATTTATAAATGTGCCCATTCGTTAAATGGTGTAAAACGTTTACTTGTGTTCTTTTCTCAGATGGTGTTCCGACGGTTTCGAATTCTCTAGGCTACAGAGACTTCAGTAGACAATTTTACGATGCATGGACAACAAACGAATTGACATTTACAGAGCAATAAATTGGGGTGGTTCTAAGTGTCTCGGCACACGCAATAATAGCTGTACATTTTCCTTGTACAAAACGTACCGTGCACGTGTCGGGGTTTTATTTATTTTTTATTTAAATAAACAAACATTTGTTCATGGTAAAGTAACATAGTAGTTGTCATAATAATATTATTCGATGGGAGTTTTTGAAAGGATTTTTTTTTCCAAACAATTATAGCGTTGACTTTGCCTTGATATTTTTGTTTTCTAAGCTAAATTCGGCATAAACCGCCAAACCGCAGTAGTCGATGCCAACATTTTAACCGTTTGACCGTTAAAAAATGCTTAAGCTGTCCGCGCCCCGTTTTACGAATTATATATCCTCTGTTTCTATTTTATTATTATCGTACGCCATGCAAATCCAAGCACGTTCGCGTTTATCCTCACTGTTATCCTTAACGTCAAACACACTTTAACGATTTTTTTTTTTGGTGTAAATTATCATTAGACGAACAGATAAAATTGCACAAATTGCAAATTTAAATCCAGAACGAATCGACTCGCCTTTTTTGTCATACACTCGAGAGTTCTGCAGCATCCGATAAACGGATCTTAAATAATCTGATAATAGTTTTACGTCTAGGACTTAATACGATTGTGGTGTCAGATAAGGTTTATACGTTCACGAATTCCATGCGTTAAAACGATATTCGGTTAAATTTAAGCATCGTACCTACTACTTGTATATTATTTTAGTACTGCGCGATTATTTTTTTGCTGAATAGTAGATTTTTTTAAAGGAAAATCCATTATAATCGATTAACTGATTAACAAACGGTTGCACGGTTATTCGATGATTATTTATTCGTTAAAAATAATCGATTATAATAATTAATTATTATTTTATATAATCGCACAGTCGTAATCGTACCGTTGAGAATTGATGTCCAAGGGAGAGTAGCCTTGAGACGGTTACAATTATCTCACATATTTATAAAATAGAACAAGTGCGCACTGTACAATACAATCTGACCAGTTTAAAGTCGATGCCCTTAGTGTTTGTACGTTTTCCCAATAGGTTTTCGTCATCGGAATGATTTTCGTGACTTACACGACTTGGCTTTTATGTATAAAGTTTTTTCCCCTATGCGGGCATACTGCGATGGTGCAACGTTCCGGGAGCACTTTAGGACAATGACCTGACTGGCCTTTTTATCGATTCCACGGCTGTTCTTCGTGCATTAAACTCTATGTGTATTGCTAAATCCATTTAATCGATCCTCGTACTTATAACGAGTGACTTCCTTGTGAGGTTTAGTGTTCACAACAAGAAAACAAGCACCTCAATAAACGATAATCGTCAAAAGCGTCCATCTATATCGTACATGATCCTACATAAGTCACACTGATGTCTTGTCGACAAAACTAAGCTTGGAGTTTTTATTTAACAAAACTGTCTACTCTCGACAAAAAAAAAAATCATAATTCGTTAAAAACGAAAACACGGCCAATGTGGACGAGTCTGCTATACTATTGATGTGCTAACGTAAAGTGAAAACGTTTTAAGTCAATAAGTGGAATTTATTAATATAAAAATAATACATTTTTTTTAGGAACGAACGTCGATGCAAAAACAAACATTTCATTTTATTTAATGTTATACTGAAATATAACAGTCGACGATAACAATTTTTTTTTTGGCCTTGGTCTCATTAATTGATTAAATTGACTTTTGTATTATTTACTTGCGCGCGTGTATTTCTGTTGAACCGACGTTGTTTTGATAATATTTTTACTAATTAAAACTCACCTTAGCCAGAGTACTTTGTCTATAAAAAAAAAAAACGACATTATAGCTTGTATTGTTACCCACGGCAACGAATAATTTTGTTTTCAAAACGAAGTCAGTTTATTAACCTCGGCGCTCGCTATTGATAAAACGCATTTCGGCTGTACAGTTTGTTCGTGGTAGGAACTTTGACTTTTGATACAACATGATAGGTGTATACTATTATGTATTCTTTTTTTTCTGGCACGTCAACAGAGATTTTTTATTGCGTTAGATGGTCCCCGAGTGTTACTAAAGTCTGCCAAATGCTTGTTAAGAACGTCTATCAAAACCGCATCGTGTTCTATCGCAGTGTTCCGGTTGAAAATTCGGCATGAAATCAAGAAAATAGTTTTTTTTATTTTTTTCTGCTATTTTCCGACAAGTAAACAAAAATAAAATGTGTACTATAACGGTTTAATATCATTCATACCTCCCGTGCAAGCATTTCGTTTAGAATTACTATAGCCCTTAAGTTGGCGTGTACACAAAAATATTTTTTCTTATTAATGCCGGCTAAATAAATCGCTTTTACTACTACTTTTACACAACACTACCGTGATTTATGGTTTACAACGGTGTGAACCGTAAAAAACTGTTAATAATATTTTTATTTTTTGATTACACACAAACTATAATAAAACATGCATTAATTTTTGTATCCAATAGTTGGTAATGGTTGTTTGTACTTAACCGACGATACAAATTATTCTAATACTTGCTCAACGTTCTGAGATGATAGATTTAATAAATTATTTAACCTCTCCAGTAACCTACCTACATGTTTCATTTTAATTGACAAAAAAAAAATATTGAAACGGCATTGGTTGTACTTGTAATCAATATTATTAGATTTTGTTGGTAAATAAAATTCAATTATTATTTCATATCATTTCATCATAAACTTAAATTTCGTGTGGTAGGAGCCTTGAATATAAGTTGCACGGTGCCCGTAGGTTTTTGGTTGGTCAACACAATTTCCGTACAGATTTGCTTTTGACACAAAATAATAGAAATGCGTTTTCGCATTTTTTCATTTCCCCAGAGAAATACCGGCAATGACGTTAGACACACCGTGCGCCGGTAAGATGTGAGCACTGTCTTGGACCATGAATATACGTTTAATATGTCTATGATACTAAATAATAAAAATTCAAATTCGAGTTGTACTAACTGTAGAGTTAACTTTAGAGTTCCACCATCTCACAAGTCAGGAAGTCACATTCTTAATATAAAAAGACATATTATATTTTCAAATGAATGTTATAATAAAATAAAATGAGGTATCAAACTCGGGACGGTATGAGAACTAAGTGAAACCATATTATGTAATACAATTAAAACTATACTACTATACTACTATACTAGAATTTTCGATTGTGTGTTTATATTACAACCACGTGTAACCAGCGCCGTATATTATAATAATTGACCAATTATTATTTGTTACAGAAGAGTACACGAAGATTACGACGCCTAGACAGGACGTTTTGTTCAAAAAAGGTTATCTTGGAAGACGCAAAAATGCTTCGGTGCCGGTCATTAATGAGGTTGCGAACGAGAATGAAGGTCAGTGCTGAAAATCTATAAATGTTTAATCATTTTACAGTAATTAATTGTTACAATTTGGCATTTAGATGTTCTAAACGCAGACGCCATCGGTCAGGGGGAAGAAATGTGTCCGTCCGACGAGTATGTTGACCCCTCTGCAATGTACATCATTAACGGTAAGTTTCTTATCGAAATATAAAAACGTACCAAATCACTTCCACTTGAATACATTTTCTGATATAATGCCGTGTATTCAAATGCAACGTCAAACATACTAAAATGTTATATTATGTTAATAACAATAAATATATAAGCAAAACCGTCAGTGCCCATTTATAACATTCTACCAATGTTGGCTACATTCACAATTCATTATATTGAGAAAGTGGGAAAAGATGTTATTAATGGCTTAGAATTTTTTGGTCGTTACGACCGGCTTGCTTCAAAGGCCTGTCGTCAATTAACTTGAAAAATCAGTTGATTAACCTCGTGGATCCTCAGCCGGTCTATGGGAACCGACTACATTATGCGCCGAAACATGTGTTCCTACCCACGAATTGATACAAACAGTGAAACAGTCAAGAGATTAATTTTTCTTCTTGAAAAAATACCGAGAAAAGTCTTTCGTTTTTTAAAAATGTTTATTATGCTGATGCATTAAAAAAATTACCTCCAAGACTGCCCGCAGTTGTTTGATCGATACTTGATAATATTTTAAAAAATTTTAATTTTATACATCTTGTAGGTGGCGGATATGAAGTTTACGACCCGTATACTGGAAACGTTACCGTGGTTATGGGCCCAGCGCCGGGTCATTACCCACCAGCCGGTCATCCAATGATGGCTACCATGCCGTACCAACCAATGCCAATCCAACCTGTCGAATGGTTTAACCCGGCCAACATACAACCACACCTTGGTAATGAACCGTGGACTCCTGGCGTTTACCAATCCCATAGACACAATAAAAAGCACGCATCTGCAGATGCACAGCAAGTGAGTAATGATAATTTTGGTTTTCAAGTATTGCTCGGATTTTACCTACTTGATTGTAGGTATTAGTGTATTGTAAAATATGATTCACATTCACTAACAGAGAGTCGATTTCCACGCTGCTTGTATACTTTGCAAAAGTATCTACAATTGATAAGCCATTCTGAACGAAGCGTGTATCGTAAAGCACGGTTTTTGATCAGCGATTGGGATAACTTAGAAAATTAAAAATTCAGAAAATTGTTTTTCATCGTGTAATATTTCGCCGATCAAAGACTACGGACACTTTTTGTACAGTAGAATTAGGGCTAAAAGTTTAAAATAGCACAACTGTGGTTAAGAGCATACTGCTATTTTTTGTAATCTCTAAATCCATTCAAAACCACGATCAGCTACATAGATATAGTTAATTCGAAATAATTTAAACAGCTAATTCTCACAAAAATAATTGATATGTTATAGAACTGCAGTGCTCAGAGCTCGGAGGAGGGTAGTAGTGTCCACGAACTCGGTTCCGACGATCAACAACACGCATTGTATCAACCGGCCCAACCATATGTCTACCCGGGATATATGTTTGGTGCACCTTTGTACAACTATAACGGTAAGCAATTAATAAAGGTACTATTATAGGTATGAATTATACTATGATTGATTGACTGTGAATATGTAATTCAGTCGAATGACAGCGACGGGTGCATTCAAACCACTCGTTTGGGCTAATCATAATACATAAAATCTTAAGTTTTCAAAATACTTTCAATTAGGTTGTAGGTAATTAGGTTAGTGGTAGCGATTATATAATAATGATATATTAATACTAAAGTTATATTCTTTGGCAATGAACCACGACGGACGTTATGCGATAAAGATTTAATCCGCGGACAACTGCCACGTCGGCAAACATGATGACAGAGATGATAAGTGCCGACGATGATCTGGTCTTGACGTTCATAGTTCGTGTCCATAAATTCTAATTGCAATCACCGTGTACAGGGGATTGCCAAACATTCCGTGTGTTTAATTTAACTTTGGCTCGGATGACCAGACGACATTTCTGTAGTGCTTGACTGTATCTCAGCACAATTAGCGTTCACCGTGGTGTAAATCAATAACACAAAAATCGCTTGTCAAAACTGGATCCACGTAGAATATGTAACTTCACAAGCCTTTCCTTACGTCCGGTTTCTACGCGAGCCGTTTGCCAGGTATTCCGTTCCGGTCTACCGTTGGGCTCGAGTAAATATTTTTGGATTTTAAAAACATACCTATACAACGTGACGCATTTTCCGTCACCTCGTGCACCGTGGATACGGGCCAAAAGACATATTTTCAATCACTATTTTTGTAACTCTTGTTTCCCGTCGCGCCGGTCAATAAGTCAGCGTACGACTTGACGTGCTGGCTTAACGTTGGTGTTGTAAAAGGGAAAAAATAATTGACTAGCCCAAAACACCCTTTCAGTCATCCAAACGACCTTCTGACACGAGACGTTTAACGTTATATAATGCAGATGCGAAACCGTGAAATATCGTATAGGGTACACGACATTGAGCTGTCCCCTCAAACAATGTTAAATAAATGGACTTGTCCGGTAGAATGGGTTCAATAAAGTGTTTAATTATTGCATTAACGTGGGGCACGTGGCTTCCTCCTCGTTTAACTATATAAACATTGATGGATTATAAAACGGGATAATGGCGTTAAAACAAAATTTTCCGAGCATACGTTAAATTTATAATATTATTTGTATTAGTTTAAACTTTAATTACACTTATTATATAAACTGTTTGAAAATAATCGACAAAGTTGGAATCTCGGTAATTCGTGATCCAATTTCCTTAACAAAAAAAAAATGTTTCCTTACATAATCGGAGTTATTTTATACAAACATTAGACAATTGACATTAGTCCCTTTAAACTGTGTTATATTCATCAAGATTTCTGTGAATTATCTTCCAGCGTGTATCGTCTGTTGCTAACAATCATTATAACATCTGGTTATAAATTATTTCGACGAACAAGATTAGTATTAATATGCAGGATATACATGTGTTTACGCTATACACCAAGCTTTTAGCTTACACAAATGATACTAAATAAACGGTTATTTGAGCTACAATATAAAACTTAATATATATATTTTTAGGTATGAGTATCCAAATGCCACTGCCTCAATCTCCTCCTTCACCGTCGATAAGCTGCGATTACACTAATAGTAAACGACGCAAGAAGAAGAAACGCAGAAAGCGAGGAGGCGTAAGTTAACTTATTTTTTTAGTTCGGTGTGGTATGACGCTATGTGTTTCTAAATTTGAAGTGCAGGTGCTAGTTTTTCATTGTAATGTGCCTATGGTATATATAAAACGGAATGCCGGCGCAAGTATTCGTCTGATCTTTAAGTATAGTTAGTTTCCATAAATGATCACCCGTAACCAACAAAGGTGATAAGAGTCACATGACATACCTCGGAGCATACGTGTGGTGTGGAAATAACATTCGCTTGACATTTTAAGAGGAATGAGAAGGAAAAAATAAGTAATTTAGGAACGCCGGCATTGTTAGAATGCCTCGGACAATACGAAACACTTTCGTAGTTAAAAGGTCAATAATGCCGTTTAAAAATAAACATGACATTGCGATAGCTTAGAGTATTTGGGTACATCCACCCTCGCATACATGGACTCGTGAATGATGTATGATTACTCGGTAACGATACCTGGCATCTTCTAACAACATTCATCCATTATATTGATCTTATTTTTCTTCGGCGCCGTCTTTTTGCTATCTCGTTTTACCAGGTATCAACGTTCTGAAATGAATACATCTTGCCCGGTTTCAGTTTTTCAGCTATTGGCATAAACGTCTAAATCAATATTCATTACGATCACGTTTATACACCATTGCTAAACTCGCTATAAATTGCGACATCTGCTGTCTTTTACTTCATCTAACTACACTTTTTTTACTTCACCATGTATTACTCACGTAATTCACCTATTCTCTCTTACAAACCCAAAAATCAATTTGCCATTTTTTTAGTAGTTAAGATCGGCCGAATAAATAATAATACATAAATAACTTTGGGGAAGAAGCATTACAAATTTAACATTGCGCATGTTTGATGATAATGGTTGAATGTTAATATTAAATCGTTTTACAGACCACCGAGGAGTATTCGGATTCAAGTTCAGAGGAACAAAAGAGTCAGTCGGGTGCCAGCAGTGACTTGATACTCGACTCAGAGAAGACTTCCGATTCGGGTGTGTTGACCAACAACAGCGGTGGTTCGACACCGGTGAACGTTATTCCCGTCCAGTTATCTCATAACGCTGCACCCTTTCACATGGAATGCTCTCCTCAACCGTTCGAAATCCTCCACGGGCCACCGATCCTGGTCCATCACCATGCGGATCCAATGGCCGCGTTCTACCATCCGATACCGCAATACACTGACCACCTGACACCCATCGGATACCAAGCGATACCGGAAGAACCGATGCCGATCGAGCCGTCGACGGACGACCGACCGAACGGCGAACCGACCGCCGGGTATTCGGCCGAGAACTCCGATTCCGGTATAAGTTCACCCAACAGCGAAGTGATGGTCAAAGAGTCGGAGGAGGGCAAGCACGTGAAAACTCAGGCCGCCAACGACGGAACGGGACAAACGACGACGACAACGACGTCGACGAAAAAGAACAGGAACAAGAAGACGAAACAGCGACAAACAGCGGGCGACAAGGCCGTCCAGTCGGCAGCGGCGAAAACCAAAAAGAAGGAATCACAGAAAACGCACCACGAGGGAGGTAAGAAATCGTCGAAAATCGCCATGGAACCACCCATCATTAAGATGTTGAACGCTAAAAAAGCCAAATCCAAGTCCGACCCGGATAAAGACGGTGGCAAGTGTTCTGCCGGCAAGGGAGAACCGAAGCCGGCAGTGACGAAAACCGAGGTAGTGGCCGCCGAGATCGGTCAGTTGTCGATCAACCCTACCTCGGACTGGGTGCAAGACGAAGAGTTCTGTTCGCTGGAGTGCACGCCCAGGTCGCTGGCCGATGATCACCGGTTCGAGTTCGCTAAAACGCGTTCTGTTGACTCGTGCGATTCCGTCGAAGAGGAGACGTTCGCCACGGCCGTAAACACCGGATACTCGGACACCGAAAACGAGATCGGCTGCAGGCAAGAAGACGCTGTACCGGCGGTTAAGACTGACGACGATACGGAGACGGTGCCGACACGCGCGGCGGCCACCGTACCCGGACCCATTACCGAGGCCGTAACCAAGTGGCTCAACGACCAGGGCGGCTTGAAACTGGTAGTACCGCCCTCGTCGTGCCTACAAGACGACGACGACACCGAAATAACGACCGACGACGAGGCCGACAGCGAGTACGACGACTTCGAAGAACAGCCGATGAGTCCAAAAAACGTGCCAAGCAACCCTTGTCCCTTTGCGCCGTCTCCTAGCGGTGGCAAAGGCACGGGGGTTGCTGCCGTAGTTGCCGCTGGTGCAAACGAACCAACGCCTCAACAGCCCAACGGCGGTATGCTGCCCAATGGTGGCATATGTTGTCTGACCCAATAAACGTGGCCACGGGCAGACCACAATGACTCTTAATTTTATAATGTTACATCGGAATCGAATTAAAATAATAATTAAAGATGCCCAGTATGTACAAAATATATCTAATAATATATAAGACAAGCAAACGAGGACGATAGATTTTTGGGTCCAGTAAAATTATCCTTACTTTTATTATTAATATTACATACAAATTAAGAAGGCCCTATCTATGCAGTTCCTCTCCGCGTTAAACAACAAAACAACTATTATATGAATAACATAAACTACTATAATCAGTTCTATACAAGTAGGTTTAATCTATCCCAGACCATAATATTTTAACATAATATAAACATAAGTATAAAGTTTTCGACTATTATAATAATATACCTATAATAATACATACATAAAAAACAACAAAGAAAAAACATCTGCATTTGATGACCGGATTTTAATACGACTATTTGTTTCGTTCATTTAATTTTTCAAATTTAAATGTATTTTTTCACCATTAAAATAAGTGGTGTAATTATGAGACTGTTTTTGGATCTTCCCGATGGGAATAATTTGTTAATAAGTTCATTATACAATTTGTTAACCGTTATACATTAAAATAAAATATTTTTGTCGTAAACAATCATTTTTTGGAATAACAAGTTATAAAATTTCGTTCGTTGTTGTGATTATTTTGTTTTAAAATCATTTAATACCTAAACAGTCTAATGGATGGGTGCGGTGTGCCTCTGGTCTATACTTATACTAAAATATCGGAATTTCGTTTTAAATAATAATAACTATACTTTATTCTAGTATTCTTATTTGGTAATTACTGTAATAATATCTTCTGATTTAGTGAAAAATAATAAAGAGTTTCGAGTTGCTTGAAATAGAAAATCAATACTCCAATATTTGACTTGTAGTACAATTTAATATAAAATAATTTTTAGAAAATATATTTTAACACAATATTATTACAATCCCGTTTTCTTAAAATCAATTTATTATAGCTTTACAATATTTTTTTAAAATATATCAAATTTTTCTTTTATAATTTGTAAATAAATATTATTTGAGTAGAAAATTTTCGTATGTTTTCTTAATCTAACAAATGTGATTGAGTATACTTAATATTAACATCGGGGTTTTATGGATTTTTAAGTATAAATTGGAAAATACTTAATTTGTTTTGGGATTTGTTAAACATTAACCATTTCAACATCGCTCAATTACTAGTTATTATTATTTTTTTATGTAGTTCTTAAATGTTTCTTTAAAAAAATAATTGTAATTATAACTAATTAACAATATTACCGAACAAAAGAAAATATAATATAATATATTCTAGATAATTTTTAGTCTGTAATTGTTTACCCTAATAAAAATTATTATTAGATAATTTTATATTATCTAATTATTTGTGTAATTTTGTATAATTTTGTGACCGATCGACAACGGCACTGTCTGAATTTGGTGCTTATACTTAAAAAATAATAACTTAAGCCTAATCTATGATTAGTAGGCATTTATATAGGAATGAACCGATAAAATGTTTAGCTTATTTTAAATTGTTTGGGTGATATATATCTAATTAAATTTAGCGTGAGGCTACCTGGATATTATTTATAATACAGTGTTAATGTTATTAGAGAAATTTAATTTGTTATAAAATATTTGATAATCGGTTTAAAGAATCCCACAATGATTACTTTTTTATAAATAATATTTGAATAACAAAATATAGTTTTATTTTCTAAAAATTAATTTTTTAACTTGTAATAGTGTATTACATAATTATGTATTATGATATGTATAATGACGTTTCCATATAATTTTCATGATATTTCGCTTGCAAATTAATAACTGCGGTTAATACTTGTAATTAGAAAATAATTACTATTATAAAGGTATTGCGTCATCAGTATAACATTTTACAATTGTAGTTTCAAGTTCTTATAATATACATTGATTAAATAGTCTTTACTATGTTAATAACTAAATATTTTAAAATTGTACACATTATTCGCAATAGCCATTAAATAATTTCATTATTTGTAATAAAATGTTTAATCTTCACAGCTGTATAAACTAATTTATTGGCATTGTTAGCAACAAATAAAATAAAATCTATGTTCAATTAATTTAAAGTGAAATTATAATAATATAATATATTGTGTAACATTATCTATTAATATATATTAATATCTCAGTAATTTTTTATTACAAACAATTTTAAAGACTTTTGTTACGAATTACAATCATTATATTATATACTGTATTATTATAAATTCTGCACTAATTATATTTTAAAATAAAAATACATAAAATCAGTATTAGGTTTTGAAAAACTTCTCAAGTTTTCATGTTCTTAAAGAATCAAATACGTATAACATAATCATCGTTATCTGTACGGTTTAACTGGCCCCCCAAAATAATTACTAGCGTGTAACCTACAAAGATATGAGGCTTTTGATATTTAAGTGCCTTAGGTCATTCCTTAATGAAAACAAAAATCGAAATTATTTGTTACAATATATATTTTGTTTTGTTGTTTGCTGTTCAACAACATCGCATTGCTTTGTTTTTTACGTAAGACATTGCAGGTCACTAAACTATTATTATTATATTATTATGTACATGGTTGATATGCATGCTGATTTTATTTTATTGTTCCAAAACTCGAATAAGATATTTTAATGTTTATTAAATAAAGACGTTAAACTACAACAATGACTTTCTCATTTTACCTGTTTTTAATGTATCGACCAAAATATCTACAATAAAGTTACAACATAATTGAAGAAGAAATTATTTTGTTGTATAATTAGAAGAAACAATAAGAAGATAATTTTAAACCAATAACTTTTAAGTTTGTATAGAAATAAAAATATATGCCATATTTAATTAATGGATTATATTTCAAGCTAATTAGCTGTGAAAAGTTAACACATTAAGTACTGCCTGCTTCTTATTACAAACAGAAACACACTTTTAAAAAAATATACGGGTTTTCTCTAAAAACATCTAATACATAATTTTTGTGGACTAAGTAATTAACTGCATTATGTTATAAAGGCTTTTTAACACTAATTAGTGTCCTTTTAATCTCTCGAAATTTTCAAGATTTTTTAAATCGTATATTCTAACTAATATAAATTGCATTCAACTTCTGATCTTCAAACTACCTATCCACTTGTATAGGTACTCCGTACTTTAATTGATTTGAAGAATTATTTTTGAAGTTAAAGCATTTTGAAGTAATGATGGAAGGTTAGTAGTGTAGGTGAGATAGACCAAAAATGGGGTTAATTATGAAAGATGAGGTAACAAGCGGGACTTTTGGGTTCTCTAACTAACTTACTAAAAATCTCACTCCCTCTGCTAATTTATTTTTTATTTTTCAAAATTCTTGAAAAATATTATTCTTATGACAAATATTTTCTCTTAAAGGTTGTTCCTCGTGTAATTATCTATAAGTTGGCTTCTTATACATTTTTATGTAAAGGTTAGATACAAAGGTACAAATATACAATATACAAAGGTTAGATCAGGAAAGATGCCTGAAATTAGCTACCGTGACCATGCAGCTGAACAGTTGAGACCAATAACGCCCTGAAGATGGACTCTGCAATGAGTCCGAAACGTCGGCCTGTAACTATTGACGTGGATGTATCCGAAAATCATTCAAATGATATATCAATCCATGAAAGCTTTAACGCACTCGTAACAATAATCATTCATAAATTATACACTAATTTCCCTAATGGATTTATTTATTTATATGACTAAAACAACACCAGAAATGTAGATAATTCAATATTTTTCAAGTTAAATAAAATATCTTAAGTACTAGATTGAAACATTTTCATCTTAGTTTTCAAATATTTTTCCAACATAATTTTGTTTGTTTTTAGTCAAATAAATATTTAACTTAAAAATGGAGAATATGCCGGGTTAATCTACAAAAATAATTGCCTCTTGGTACATACGTTTGTTTGGAGTCCATTGGCCTTTACATTTATAATAATATATTTACTATCGTTTTGTTAACATATCATTGAATATTGTCCTACTGAACTGTACCAGTATCGACTTCCTGTTAACCCACGTAAATTCATCAAAATATTGCTGAAAACATCAGTGTTCGACGATGATTGAACACACAGTGACTGAATTAATAGTTTTTAGTTTTAATCGTTTATGATACGTAGCAATTATTTAAAAATGAAACATAAAATTACATTATTCTTTATCGTGCTAACATCGGCCAATAGTATACGAAGTCGGTCTGCTAACGATTTTCTCAAAGATGTGTTTTCCCTCGAAGACAATTCGTTAGGAGAAAAATGCACGACAATGGAATGCCAAACGTCGGGTAAACCTATATAATTTTCAAGACTTATTTATTGCATCGAGTCTATCATTTAGAAACATACGAATTTAACTGTTTTACACTGTAGAGTATCTTTTGAAAAGCATGAACCGGTCCGTAAACCCTTGCGCCGACTTCTACGAGTACACGTGTGGTTCCTGGATCAAAGACCATCAAGTACAAGAGACTAAAATGTCTTGGTACCAGTACAAAGAAGCAGAACGCACCATAACGAATAATTTGAAAGGCAGGTAAACGGAATTAATACCGAATTCAGTATACTAACTTACTAACTACTCTGTTTATTTGTTTTCTGACAACAAAAATGTACATAATTAGTATTTAAATAAAACTATCAAAATATATAATTTAGACTTGCTAGAAGATGATAATTCGAGTGAAATTCTACAATCGGCGAAGAAGTTTTACAAGAGTTGTTTGAATTCTGGTAATAGTCAACACTATTAGAGCAAAAATTTAAAATGTATTTACTTTCAACTATGATTGTTGTTCCTTTCTTTATAGCAAAAAACCAAATGAATATGGAGTACATTAAATCGATTGTTTTATTATTTGGTGGATGGCCAATTGCGAAAAACAATAGAAACAGTAAACTGGAATCATTAGACTGGATGAAAATCCATGTTTATTTAGAAAAAAACTGGAACGTTCCGACTCTTGTTGAAACTGGCATATCTATTAACTATATGAACACGAGTCAATATATTTTAATGGTATGCATAAGCTTAAATAATGCCGTGGATATATATGTATTACAAGATATAATCTATTTTTCTTCCAACGAATATACACAAAGTACACATTTTGAGCTTAGATGTTTTTAGTTTTGATGCAGGTATTGGTTTTACAACAGTGTTTTTATTTTTGTGTTTGTACCAAGATAACTTTTTAAACACTAGGCTGATTGCTTTGTGTAACAATCTTAATCTCAAGTTTGTAAATCAAAAATCGTATACTGTAGTTATTTTATTTGGCCATAAATATAAAAAGATTACTCTTTAACTGTAGAACCGAGATAAATTAACCTTAAACAATTTCAAATTTTCCAACTTAAAAATGTTAGCATGCTTTAACTTTTTTTAATACGATTCAATTACTTCAACATTTTAACGATGAATTAGATTACTTGGATTACTACAACTATATTCTTTAGAGCTGCTGATATACAGAAAAAAATATCATTAGCCGTTTCCTCTAACGGGATAGCAACTTTATTTTAACACATTCAGTAATTATTTCCTGAAGACCTGTGACCACCCTGTCTCACTATGCTCCAGCCTCACTTTTATTATCAATATCTTATTTTAAAATATTTTACTAAATTAATTAAATTTGAGTTTTATTATTTTTATGAACTTGTTATTTAACTTTTCGTTGTAGGTAGATCAGCCGGATATGATGATGCCTCGCTCAATGTTTTTGCACTCAGACAAATATTCAATGCAAATGGCTGCTTATTCAAAACTCATTTCTGGAACTGTTTTATTGGCTTATAATGATTTAGGACTTGGACCACAACAAAACCAAGGTTTTGGCGATGAAATAGCTTTCGAAATAATTCAATTCGAGTCACAGCTGGCCAAAGTAGGTACTTTAAACAAAGTTTAAAATATTGGTATTTGTATGATATAAAACCATATTACTTTTGCAGTCGGAAAAGGGTATGGTTTTTTAAAATTAAGAAACTGTTCTAATGCTTGTTTTCTGAATCTACTACCAATTATTTTATAGATACACGGCAATGGAGACATAAAAAAAAGCGAAAAAATGTTAATGAACCGCATAATGACAATTGCAGAACTTCAAAGTGTCACCGACTATGTATCTAGTAAATTTCGCGTAAGACTTAGAAGTTGCACTTAGTTTATTATTTTGTTACTTTGTCTAATAATAAATATTACATATAGATTGATTGGTTGAAAATGTTTCAACTTTTATTCAAAGATACAAACATTAGCATTAGAGATACAGAAAGAATAATTGTTAGAGAAGAGAATTATTTAAAAGAACTCATTCGTGTACTTGAACAAACTCCAAAAAGGATTATACGTAAGAAATAAAATGAACACGGTGTCAATTTACTTGTTTTTAATTTGAATCAGAATATAGTTATTATTATAGTAATTAAATATATCTAAAATACTATCTAACTTTCACGATATAAGTACATTGGTGTTTTTTTACATTGTAAAGTACCTATCACAGTTGCAAAGTAATACTGTCGTTTAAAGTAGGGTACTTTCAGAAATTATTTATTTGTTTGTTTCGGTAGTTAATTATATGTCGTGGTGCTTTTTGAGATCTGTGCTTTCGGATACTAGGGAAGACTTAAGAAACCTGGTCAAAGACTTCAACGTGATTTTCACCGGAGACGCGAAAGAAGTTTCCAGGTGATTTATATTTTGTCTCGTTAAAGTTTCAATAAACGTTGCTAAACCAAATTGTGCTCGACAGGTGGGTGGACTGCGTGTCGATCACTAGTTCGCATTTCACGTTCAACGTTGGATACACGTATGTCAACAAGTACTTTGACAGATCTGCAAAAGACACGGTAGTAATTAACAATTATTTGCGATCATTTGAAAACTAAAACAGTCATATATGATAGGCCTTGGAAATGGTGAATAACATACAGCAAGCGTACTTGGAACGATTGGAGAACGTACCGTGGATGGACTCGGTGACGCGACAAGCTGCCATTGACAAGCTGCAATCAATACACAAGTTTATTGCCTACCCAGATTGGTTCAATAACAGCTCTCGTCTGCACAATAAACTTAAAACCGTATGCACTTTTGGGCATGAGTAGGAGGATAACGTATACTCAAACAATGTATTATTTGTGTTACAGGTCAACATGACGGAAAGTTACTTGATGAACCTGGAAATCTTACTGACTTCTTCGAGCTCCAAAAAATTGTCCAAACTACACACTGTCCACAACCACGACGAGTGGGTAGACAAAGCTTTTCGCTTTCAATTCCAATTTATTGCTCAATAATTGTATTAATCTTATACTTTCGTGATTTTAGATGGACAATGGATATCGTGAGCGTTAACGGCTATAACGACGTTTACTCCAACGCCATAGGTATCTATAAAAATTTAGATATTGTGTTACCTATTAACTATATTAATAAATCCCTTATATGATATATAAAACGAATTTTCAGTACTGCCCGCTGGAATTTTACAACTTCCATTTTATCACAATGCTCGAATACAGTAAGTGATATCTCTAGGATATGTATACTCTCACCACACTTATCACCTAGCTGTTATGTAATTTTTTTATTTATACTTTATAGAGCTTTAAACTACGGAATGATCGGTATGGTATTAGGACATGAAATAATGCACGCCTTTGACGACTCAGGTTCGTATTAAAAAATACAATTTATATAATTTTAATACTTTCTAATTGTAGGTAGAATGTACGACAAGCAAGGAACTAGACGTCAGTGGTGGACACTCGAGACTATGGAAACGTTTTCTAAGAAAGCTGAATGCTTTGTACAACAATACAACAAATACTATTTACAAGTGTTAGGAAATCAAGTAAATGTACGCACCTTTTCGCTTAACTATAGAATATAATAAAGTTATACATGCACAATAATATGACCATTAACTTATGTTGTTCAGTATTATTCAGTTTCGGATGATGTTATAAAACATAACTGCATTTATAGGTAAACGGACATTTAACACAAAATGAAAATATTGCAGACATTGGAGGACTGAGTCACGCATATTTGGCATATCAGAAATACATAGCGAAACATGGAGAGGAAAGCAGATTACCTGGGTTGGAAGATTTATCGCCTGAACAATTATTTTTCGTGGGATTTGCTAGTGTAAATCATGCTTAAAACTCCGAATTAATGGTTTTTTCCTCTAAATTGTTTTCGATTTGCAGATCTGGTGTGAGTCTACGACCGAACTAACATTATTAAATGATTTGTTATCTGACGTACACAGTCCGGGCCGCATACGAGTTTTGGGCACTCTATCGAATTCCGCTGAATTTGCAAAAGCATTTCAATGTCCTGTCGGATCACCAATGAACCCTCTAGATAAATGTGTGATGTGGTAAAATTTTTTAGCCAACAAAATTATATTTTTAATTATAATGTAATTCATTAAACACTTAAAATAATATAATACAGTCTACTTTTTTTTTTATAAATTGTTTAAGTAAACACTGTATATTTGATAATTTTTTTAATAAAACTCAGTAAAAACATAATAGAAATGTTTGAACACAAACATAACCTATAACGTTTTATTATTAAACGTGATATCAAATCACTTAGATAGTTATTTTACTAAAATGTGTGAAAATTAATAAATATGAAGAAACGGTTAATAAGATACAGTTTAATAAATCATTGTATTGTATGTAATCAAGTAATTACTGTACCATGTTTCCCTTTTGTTAAAAAGTTTAATTTCATGATAATCTTGATTTGAAAAATAAAAGAAGAAAAAATAACAAATGTCGAAAATATTGTAAAATTACTTGTGGAATTTCATTCCGAAAAAATATGGCGTGGGAGGTAAGTAAACTCTTAGGTCCTGTTTACCTCCTCCCAACGCACCCTAAACTTTTTTATAAGTTTTAACTCCGTACATTGAAATAGGTTTTTTTTATTCAAATCATTATATGTGTAAATAAATATTGTACGTATAATGAACAGGTTAGCATTGTTGTGTGCGCGTGACTTTGTTTCATATAGTTCATTGATGTTTACTACTGTCTAAAATTGACTCGTTGTGTATGGCATTTTCATGCGTTTTCGCAGTCTTATCGGTACTAAGACACGAGTTTAACTCAACAAGGTTATTTCTACCATATGTTAAATACACATGACGTGTTTCCTTCTCGCACGTGCGGTGTTATCGAAAACGGGTTTACTTGAATGTTAGTTTAGTCAAAAGTCGCATTTATCGGATTGTTAGTAAACAGTAGTGAATTGGCTCATATGACTGCCGACCGCCATGACACGAGTAGAATCCATTGTAATCGTGTGCATCTTAGAAATCGCGTCGATGATCACTGCACCTTTGGAAGGCGCCAGAATATTGGCCATCGAAACTTTGGCCGGCAAAAGCCACTGGAACGCCATGAGTCACGTGCTTCAGGTTTTGGTAGACCGCGGCCACAACGTTACCGTTTTCACCCCGTTCGTCGACGGCAATCGTGAAAACTACACGGAAATCGATTTGTCCGAAGTGATGTTGCCAATAGTCGATTTGGAGTATGAAATTGTTGAACGGCTATTGCACAAAGTATCTACATACATTCCGCTAATCGTAAACGTAACCAGATACAACTGCTACATCACCTATTCGCATCAGCACATGCAGGATATACTGGCCAAAAGTGGCGAACAATCGGAATTCGATGTTGTCATCACTGAACCGTTGGCTTCGGAGTGTGTTTCTTACGTGGCGACCAAGCTAAAGTTGCCCTTGATTTATGTCGTCCCGTCCACGCAGATTACCTTCATTGAATGGCAGATATTCGGATACATGTCGAATCCCTCGGTCACCTCCCATCTAATGGCCGATCACGTAGTGCCCGAGACGTTTGTCCAGAGATTCAGTAACACCATTCTTACGGTATACAGCCTTTTCTTACTCAAACGAACCGAGTACCAGATGAAAACAATTTTCCCTCAGCCGTTTGACGAAGCGGAGCCAACAAAATGTTCATTAATATTTTCCAACACGCATTACATCAATGATTCGCCAGGGCCGCACTACTCCAACTTGGTTCAAATCGGCGGTATCCATTTAAAACCGCCTAAGCAACTGCCTGAAGTAAGTGTCATAGGTTATACCCTCGTGCAGTTCGCTGCAGTTCAAAATGAAACGATTTTAAAAAACGCCATTTCATACTCCAAAAAGGACTTATTAAGATATATATTTAAACATAACAACCAACATCAAGAAAAGGGTCTTAGTCAATTTTAATTTTTACTAAATAATTAAAAGATCGATAAGAAAATTAAACATGTAAGATAATTAGAACAGTTTCTTTCAATAGTAAAAAGAAAGGATTTAAAAAACATATGACAAATATTTATTCTTATATAAATTCAGCTAATAATTGATAAATATTTTTTAATTATTTACTAACAAATGATGAAAAAATAGTTTTTAACTTAAGGGAATTGCATATGGTCTGTTTTTTTGTTGTTTTATACCAAAATTCCTGACAAAATTATCTGATTTCAATTCTGTAAAGATATATGAGTTCTTTGAAAACTTCACTAGGTTATGTAGGAAACAGATTTTTTACTTTTTTATTTAAAAAAAAAAAGAAAATTAAATGTTTTAGTTACAAGATTTTTAAATGAAAATCGGCTTCCTACATAACATAGTGAAGTAGTCAGAGAACTCGAACTTTTTTTTTCTTAAATTTGCCTATACAAAACTCCTTAAAACTGACAAAAAAAAAGCGTATAATACTTACAGCAATAGAATATCCATTATGCAGCGTAATATTGTCGAAAAATAACTATGTTTTAGTGTGAGGATTTGCAAAGTGAGAAATGTTGGATAGATCTAATATTATGAACTATTCATAGGCAATAATTTTGTTACATATGTGAGGGGGAGGACGACGAATTAAATTGAAATGCCAATTAAATATTTGTGATTTTTATAATAGTTTGAAGATTAGTGTTAATCAAAAATAAAATATAATACTAACATAAAAGCTTAGACCAATTTAGGTTGATATATTTTTCACTTGTCCAATAAATAATAAAATGCAACATTTTTTAAAATTAACTAATAGTTTTTACGAGTTGGAATTGTAAGTAAATGAATTAGCTCCTTAGCACGTTAACGAAATATAACTATACTTACTATTCCATTAACCATGACGAAATATTTGATATGTGTACTAAGGATATATTGGAATTCATTGAAAACTCACCTTATGGAATTATTTATGTCACGTTTGGAACGATGGTGGATATGTCGACTTTACCTAATCACATATTAAACATATTTAAAGAAGTGCTATCACAAATGCCTCAAAAGGTTTTGTGGAAGTACCCGGGTACAATGGAAAACCAACCAGAAAATGTGATGACCAAGTCCTATTTTCCACAAAGAGATATACTTTGTAAGTAAAATATACCTTAGTAATTACTTTAAATAATAAACATAATAGTTTATCTATTTCCAGTACATCCTAATATTAAATTGTTCATTAGTCATGGGGGTATATCAGGCGTACACGAAACGGTGGATGCAGGTGTTCCTGTATTGGGGTTTCCTTTGTTTTTTGATCAGTCAAAAAATCTTGAGGCCTTAGCAAACGCGGGAATGGCCATCTCTTTGGATTTCTTTTCAGTATCGAAAGAAACATTTCTAGGTGCCATTATTGAACTCGTCAGCAATGTGAAGTAACGATTATATTACCACATGTAACATTAAGTAGCCTTTCATCGGCGTACAGTTACCACAGTTTTTCTAATTTAGGTATACTGAAAACGCTAAAATCGCTGCACAGCGTTTTATGGACAGACCAATGACTCCAGCCCAATCAGTGGTTTACTGGACTGAATATATTATTCGCAACAAAGACTTATCCCATTTGAAAAATCAAACCGTTATTATGACCTGGTACCAGTACCTGTTACTAGATGTGATTGTTATATTAGTATTAGGACTCATACTTAGTTTATATTTACTTTCTATTTTGTATAAAGTAGCTCATTCAGTTGTGATAGGAACCAATATAATGATGGTAATTTCAGAAAACACAGACTTTTCGTAATTTACACGTGATCCAAATAAACGTGTTATGTATGCAAATTTAATTTTAAAAGGTTATTATTCATTCATAGTACCTAATATTAGATGGACTTCGGACATTTAAATACATTTTGCTTTCCAAAGGGTAAAAAATGCACCTTAACCGTCCGTGTTATTTTTTATTTACTACTTTGGAAAAAAATTGCTTTTTTAGCTAAAAAATAAGTTTTAAAGCACGTTTTGATGTTAATGCGAAATTTCATCTAATCAACAACATACAATGTATTATCGCGTTGTTCACATACAAGGTAATTGTTATTTATAATATTTATTATTATTATTTAATGATACATTATACGAAAAAACCTAATGGCATCGTATGGCGCCGTTGCCTAAGTAACAAGTCTAACCATTTTATAGATCATAAGGCAAAATCGTATACTATATTTTGTTATTTTAACAATGGGAAACATCCAAAATAGACACAATGGCACGTTCGATTACTATTCAGATTCTCCTTCAGCAAACTTGTTGTGTTTCGAAAAAGAACATGTTAACCGTATACACAGCATGTACGAAATGTTTATGAAAAATCCTCTGAAACACTGTATTGGATCTCAGAAAAAGTAAAAAATACATAATACAGGTATACTATCGGATGTAGGTTTATAACGTATGCTTTTTTTAGGCCATACTTTTTTTTAAAAGTTTTTAATTTGAATGTAAAAAAAAGACAACAGCTGTTGTTATAAACATTAAATTACATATTTTTAGAATTTCTGTATGTAAATAATATATTGGACCTTAGTTAGAACTACAATGGTTAAAAGTTTAATAGATAAGACGTATGTCTAGACGAGAAGCACGGGTTATATAGGTTACATAGGTTTACTATGATTATACCATCTAATATAATATGTAGTTTTATCCTATACGTGTATCTATTCTATAGTGTTTATACTACTAACGAGAACTTCCAGCAGACTTTGAATCTTGGTTTATGTAAGAGCAACATAAAATCTCAAAATTCGTTTAAAATTCAAGCGGTCGCCAATGTAATGAACCAGTTGGCAGTATTAAATGCCATACACGATCCTAGAGCCATGCACGTGGCCTTAACAAAAATTATTAGTACACATATGAATATTACCGAGGCTGATTTTACGGTATGCAATTATTATATTAAAATAAAAATCCAAGGTTATTTAATTTCTATTAATTTAAATTAAAAATAAAACATGAATGATTAGAAAAGACAAAATTAATAACTAATAACATATTTAAAAATTACTTAATGAAAAATAACGAAGATAGTCTACTGTCTAGAATAATTGTTTCTCTTGTATAATAATATTTTTTTATATTACATGGTAATACATCATGTAAAATTAAAAAAAAATAAAAACACCGTCAAAGTCCAGTTGATAACATTAGACAGTAAGTAAATAATTAAGAATTAAAGGAATTATGCTCACTGATTGTACAATAAATTAAACAAACAAAAATCAAGTGCCATGAGAAACGATAATTTCAAATAATTCTTAACATTATTCACTACTTAACCATGTAAGGTTAAGTAGTGAATAAACTAATTACATTCATGTTATCGTTAGAAATATTATAGAAGTAATTATTAAAATAATACCTTGAACTTATACGAATTTAACAAATAATAAATTGACACGGTCGAAATTGATTAAAACCATTTTTTTTCTCAAATATTGCCCATATTTTGACCCTTAATAAATAAAAGCTAACAGGCCAGAATTTTCATAAGAATTTACACATCAATTTAGTTATTAATTCGCCAAAATCAGTCCAGAAATTTAAGAAGAAACTGGGCACAAATAAAATGCACGCTATTAAATTACACCTAAACAAAATACCATCATTTTCGATGTCGAGGCCGATAGTTGATGGGTGATATTGCCTTGAGCAAAACAGTTATTAAATATGTAAAAACAATGTGTTATGTTTTAACAAGACCATAAGCCATAAAAATGGCTTAGATATGAATTAAGGTTAAGTGGGGAAATACAAAACAAATAGAACCCATTTAAAATCGATTATTAGTACAATACTATCAACATTTTCTAATTTTTAATGTCGTTATTTAATTACAAGAGAAGTCATAATTATTATTGAATAAAACAGAAACTATTAGTTTTTCATTTGTTTATACGTTTTTTCAATCTGATTGGTAACGAATGTTAAATGTTAACGGTTTATGTAGGGCTGCGTACAAAATTAGATTGTCAAAAAAGTATTCGGCGTGGTCTTGACCTTATTAATAATTGGAATAACACCAAGGTGTAATAATAATCATAGGTAAAAATAAAAAGTTCAACGTTTTTAAAATTACCAACTAATGATTTTGTCTTAAACCATTATAGAAGCTGCGAAATATGATATTGTACAATTTGTACAATATCATAGTGTTAGTAATGAGAAATAAGACATAAAATATTTTTTATCCAAGAAATATGTGAACCTCTATCCACGATGTTTATTTGATTTTCATTCCCAATTACCTATTTATGATTTTAGTTTTATTTCAAAAATATAGCTTTTATAATATTCTGCTTCTCAGAACTGATAGGTTAAACTGTTTTTATAATTTTGATTATGAATTTATTTTTATAATACTGGTCATGTTACAATTTTACAGAACTACAGAGATCACTTTATAAAATACTTGGTGACGACGTTTCCTGAAAAAATGACAGAGTCAATGCAAATATCGTGCTACAAATTCTTTACAAATTACGGAAAGGCGATTATCCATCACCGTCAATTACTAGAAAGTCTAGGTCACATGGTAGATGATGATTTTGCGAACGAAGAAAGAAAATTGTTATCATCTAATATCCCCAATGGAATAGAAGCAGTGCCGTTTTATTCCAATACCGACGAACTAGTATTGTCTGAAATCAATGGTGAAGAATTGAACGAAGAATATGAAACGTACAATATGTACAAATATTTATAAATGAATAATAAACAAGTCCATATCAACAAGAGTTATTCGTCGCACATTAAGTGTTTATTACAAATTGTGTCATGATTGGAAATCCGACGAATCAATAATGAAATCCCATTTCAACATTTTCAAATGCCTTCTTACAATTATTTTTAAACATATTTTAAATTTGATCGTTGATTACTGATGAACTGGTCTGCCCGTTATAGAACGTGTATTATTGCATTTCCTTTGGTCGAATACAGTCCCTTTGAGATTAAATGCATTTATTATTATTATTTATTAACATGGTTTTCTTTTTTTGTTCTAATTATGACAGGTAAATGCATAGTCATAACTAAAATTTACATATTATTTTTAAAAATCAGCAACAGTTGTTATCAATGTTGATTTTCAATTTTATTGGGTGTTATCTCGAAAGTGATAAATGGATTCGATCCGAACTTCATACATGACACGCGTATCAATTGAATGTAAATTGTGATGTGTGCCGTGTGGTAAATAATTGTAAAATGTATCAAGAGAAAGTCGATATTTGATAATCGTAAGAAAAAAATGTTTGAAATATTGTAGGGAAACCGAAAAGTAGGTAGTTAATGAGTAGTGAAATTATTTAGTTTCTTAGCGAGGTATCGTGAAAATGGTGATTACTAAAAGTATTCGGGAAAAGGCTACTGTACAGTTTATATTGTGTTCAATTACATTTTGTTTACTAATAAACAAAAAATGTTATGTATTGGGACAAGTACAACCGATGCCAGTGGAACATGATCAGCCCCCACAGCCTCAACCTACGGCACCTTGGTACGAGACATTGCCGGCAGTTGCGATGGATTACAAAGTGATCATCGATCCTGGTAAAGAAGACTGTTACTTTCAGTTTGTCAACCCCGGTGCAACGTTTTACGCCAGTGCTCAAGTAAAACTGAAAAATTATTACCTAAATGGAATAATTCAGTATTTTATAATTTTTGTTATCGTCTGCTTTAATAAGGTATTAAGAGGAGGTGACGGAATGGCTGGTTTTGCAGTCAGGCATCCTAATGGTCAAATAGTACATCCGTATCAATGGAAAGCAAGTTCAGATTACCAAGATCAAACTTCCACTGGAGGTTATTACAGCGTGTGTATAGATAACCAATTTTCCAAGTTTGCATCTAAACTTGTCAATTTGTATATCACTGTCATAAGGTAAATTTACAGTTATGAATATGTACATTTCATATATTGATATCTTTAATTATAAAAAGTTTATTTTTTACATCTGAGCGATTATAAAAACCTCAAAATATACGTTAGATAATCTACAATAATTATTGTATGATCATATTTTATTTGGCCGATCTCATTTTTTGAAATCGTTTATGGAACCTAATATTCGTTATCATTTAGTCTTGTTTTATAATTGTTGTTACAATGTATAAAATACCTTGTCAGCTTCGCTTTAAAGCTAAAAATGCTTTAGAAAAAGTGGTAAAAAGATAGTATTTTATTTATGTGTTTAAAATAAATATCCAATTGTTGAGTATATTTTTTAATCATAATTTTAAAATCGGTGAACAGCATTATTTATATACACTATTAATATCATAAGAGTTATTAACTGTTAATTATTTGTTTTAAATATTAAAAACTATTTTGTTTTGCTTAGGTATGATAAATGGGATGAATATCATAAAGAAATAGAAGACTTGAATGTTAGCGTGGAGAACTTTACAGTAAGTATATTTAAAAAAAAAATTATTTTACTACTTAATACCAAAGGTCAATAGTTAAGCATATAAATTCCATTTTTTTTTTACAAAATATTTTAGTTAAGGCGCTGTGTGACAGTGTGCTTTTATATGGCTAGTAAATATGTATTGCGGAAAAGGAACAATGCCTTGTTGAGTTATTAAATTTGCATTGATTTTTAAAATTCTATCTTAATGTGCCATAATAAGAGGTTGATTTTTTTTTTAAATGTAATGCCAATCATAACTTATCCTGCAAAGTATTTTTTCACCATTAAATTATGGTTAGGTAATTATTGTTTCAAGTAATATTTTGTTGTAAACTATGCTCTAAAGCCAATTAATCTAAAAATTAAATTTTTTTCTAAAAATAAGATAAATTTGAATTGTTTTATAATGAAAATGTCAAAACAGATGACGATTTATAATAGTTCAACAATAGTGTGGTAGAGATTAATGTTAAAAGTAATATGAATAATAATACAACTTAGTAGTGAGAATCAAAAGGGTATAAGTTATAGTGATTTTTTTAAATGTTACAAGAAAGCAAAACTAAAGTAGTATATTCAATGAGTTCTCATACGAGTGATGTTTTTCAAAACATTGTTACAAAATTGTTGAACAAATGCCAATAGTAAAATGGTTCCTTGACCTAAACTGTATGATAAAAAACCTTGTTTTTAAAAAGATGATCACCGATTTCTATTGGTTGTCGTCACTTCATTTGTATATGAAATTATAACTGTTTTTAATTTGTTTTTTTTCCTAAATTTCAGACTACTGTGAAAACAGTCGAAGCTAATATAAATAGTATGTTACAACATCAGTATCATGTCCGTAGTCAAGAAAGTCGTGATTATAATCTTTTGGTTGACAACAATAAGTATGTTAGCGGATGGTCCATGGTACAAATTGTGTTGATTATGGGAACGACTACATTACAAGTATACTTTGTGCGTAAATTGTTTCAGACTAGTGCTGGAAAATCTAAAACGCGAGCTTAGAATAATTTTTTACTCAAATATGTGTTTTTCTTTATGTGAATATTGTTCTTTTGGCATTTCTTATCTGTGTATTACTGTATTTTATGAGGATTTTTTTTTTATATACAATAAATATATTCAATTTGTGATAGTAGTAGAAAAATATACAACCAAAAATCTATTGGACGTTTCTCTATCTGGATTTTTACGTAAATACACAAAAATGTATCATTCCAATTTTTAGAATAAGTCTTTAATAAATAGTCCACTTGTTTTCAGTGTATAATATCTAGCCTTAAGTAAGTTATGTTCTAAAAATAAAATTTATGTGTAATTCTGTTATAATTTTAATGAAATTATCTTTGTGTTTTTTTGTATGCAAGTATAAATGATGAAGGTTTGATGTTTTTGTATAGCAACTGTTGGACGTTGTTTTAAATTTCATACTAATGCAATAATATAAAAATTTATTGTTGTGAAACATATATTAATAATACGTTGTAATGCTCATTTTTGATGATCTTGTGTTTAAATTATGTTTATACTACTTTTATTTTTAATAATTAACTGAATTACACTATTTGTTGTATATACTATTAATTAAATTGTTTTTTTTTAAGTTTACAGAAATTTAATTTACACATTTCTCTATACTATTTTGTATCAAACAGTTTTAATTTAACCGGTATGACTATAAACATAACATTATTATAACTGGAAATTTACTCAGCTATTGAGTTATATAACTGTAACATGGATAATATATAGGAGAAATTATAAATAATAGGTAAATAAGAAAGAAAGAGATCGTCACTCCATGACTTAGGGAAAAGTGTGATTACTTACTTATTTTGATCTTCAATTAACCTTACATTATGACACGTAATTTATTAAACAATCATTTCACAATTATTATAAATTGTAAACTGTGAATTTAATAAGTATTGTAATTTTTAACTTGGTTTTGTAGTAGGTAGGTTAACAGTAAGTATTTATATTGTTAACATAGAAAAATGAATATTAATTTTTACATTACTTTTTTATTAAAAACAGTAATAACTAAAAAGTAGTAATGTTATAATAAATAACAGTAACAAAATATATATAACCAGAAACAATAAATTATTTACAACTGGGGGAGAAAACATTAAAATAAAAGTAGTATTTATTATCAATATGAGCGAGGCTATAACACTATCTAATATTTTATAAGGTACATTGAGTAAAAAATATGTTTTATTAGATTGTATAGTACATAAACAATATTAATAAATGTCATGAAATTTTTTTTTAACTCGACATTAATAATTACGTTAATATTAATAATTAGCGTTTTAATTACAAAACGTCTGTTTACAATTATATTATCTGAATTATTGTAGCCGAATGATTATAATAATAATAATATGTATATGATATTACAATAACTTAAACTAATATCAATACATATGTTTTGGGTTTATTTTTTTTTTGTATTATGGTACATAGGTACTATGTTATATTTATAATATGGTCAGTATAATAAATGTAATAAATAATATAATATAATTCATCAGTGGAGTTGAGAAAATTCAGCATGGAATGTATGCCCCAAATAACATAATAATGTAAGTTTAGCAAGAGAAGGAATGTACATAGATCATACAAATTTGTACAAATTGACTATTATTTTTTCTTCGTTTTGTCTAGTTGGGACTGCAGGTAACTTCCAGACATGGCTAACAAGCGGTAACGCTGTTTTAGATTTTTCGCTCTAGCGTGCTGAGATGCTATTTCTGACGTGTAATTGCCGGGGAACCATCCTTTCTCGCCGTCGCGAATCCGTTCACCGTGGTACCATCCTGTAACAGATTGCACCCGGTACTTAAGAGATAGCTAAAAAAGGGGGAGGGCGAGTACAAAGAAAAGATGTTCAGTGGTGGACTACGGTGACCGACCTCGAGGAGACTTGGGAAGAAGTGGCAAAGGGAACAGAAGAAGATTTACCCACCATCGTTCATTTTCGTCAACACTTTAACTATATCTCCATTCTGCAAAGACAACTCGTCCGGTTGAATGGCCACGTACGCGTGCTCAGCGTACACCTGCGGACAGTCCCATTCGTTGTACAGGGTCTCGTCCGGGTTGGAACTGATTGGCGGCGACATTGCTTCGATCCATCGTTTTTTAGAAGATTCTGAATCGCAGCTTAGCAGCTGTCAACAATAACCGAACGATAAGTAATTCGCTTGGGTCAACCACACTACACGACGAGTAGAGAGTAACCATTACCATTTCAATAGTCTTGCTCTCGTGGTTTTCCAAAATCGTCAACATCAACAGATTCTTGTACGACGAACTTATCACTAATTGGGTGGCGTCAGTCATCTGCACAAAGTTCCTGGCGCAGTAGTCCACCACCGTGTAGTTGTCGTCACTAAATCAAACAGATAAACAACAATGTCAAACAACGCTGTACTAGGACCTTATAATCACGGTCAAGTCGCGGTCGGTCTACCTTTTGCGTTTGGCTATGAAGAACATGTCGTTGAACAAGAAGAAATACAACTTGGTGGGTCTGATCAGTTTGCGACTTAAAGTCAGCTTAGCATCCGGACTAGGTAGGTGCAACATAGAACCCGACCGTACTAGCCAACGCGAACTAGAAGCCACCGACATGACTTTCATTTCCCGCTTGCTGGAGAACTCTAACTGTCGACTCAACAACAACATCTCTTCGTATCTTTCCAATTTTCTAGTACTCTCGTTGCAGTTTTGCACCACCTTAAAAAAAAATGGATCAAGATATTGTTATACTTATATATGTCGATAAAATTTTTAAATGAAAGCTTACTGCGTTCAGCGAAGCTAGAGTGAGTTCACACATTTGGTACTCGGTAGAATTTTCGATGGGGTCCATCTGCGACAGGATAGCGTCCACGAGTAGTGGCAATCTGGTGATTCTCTGCATGGGCAACATTAGGAACGAGTGAAGCGATAACGATTGGCACTTAGCATCAGTTTCCAGTCTTTGTAGAGCTTCGTTGAACTTGAAATTTTTATCTCTGCGAACAATCGTCAAGGTTATAAACACTCATTGTACGTCACAAGTATTAATAATATTTAGCTACCTCAACGTTTTCAACGTGCGATCTATGTAAATTTGATTTGAGCAATACTTGACGAAGATGTCAAAATTTTCTTTGGAATGCGTGTACAGAATTTCGCACAGGCCCCGGAGAAGAATGTTGTCTTGCCAGCATTTCTCGAGTGCTGCCAATAGTTTTTCAGAACACTTGCGCACTAAAATCAAAAGCTGTAATCACTTCCCATCCATGCAAGAATTAGTTGGCAGATAATTACCTGGATTGACATTCCCGAACAGAAGTTTTCGATCGCTTTTATACAGTATTGTTTCGTCGTTCATCGAATGACTGTTCACAAAATGTTTCTCGAGCACGGTCAGAGATTTAAAGTAAGACGCTTCGGATGTGATTAACTCGAATTTGGCTTCTTGTAGCTTCCGTTCTCGAGGTGTCAATGCGTCTGAATGAATAGTAAAATAATACAATAAGCCGTTGACGATCGTCCGATGGAGACGAACGTATAATTGTAAATTGTGACTTACCTAGAATACCACTATTTTTTACTTCGGGAACTTCACACCATAAGGATCGATGCTGCCCGTGTCCGGTCGAGCAAGGAGTTATTAGTTCTAGGGCCGACGGCCGGCTGGTGACGGAGCTGATTTCTTCGTAGCCGTCACACTCTTCCATTAAGTCACCGGCGAACACGCTTTTTGACCTCTAAAATAATAATAATATTGTAAAATCGGTAATATAGGATAACCGTAAATGCATTTGAAATATCTGATAATAATATTATGTTGGTCATTGAACATTATAGTTTTTTTGATGATTAACAAACAGCAATAAGTAGATTTTAGATTTTAAACAATGAGCGAACATTTGAAATGGACCAGCTCCTTCCTCAGTTAGGAATTTTTCGAAAACAAAATTATTTTATACAGTGTATTTATATTTAGTGTTTACTAATGGAGAATAGTTATTACTAAGTCAGGGCCGATATTACAACTATACTGTAGACGTGCCGTCCAATTCACGGTTACTCATAAAAATGAAAAATATAACCGCAATAATAGTATTTAAATATTTGACGCAGGTAATGGCATAAAACAAATAAATAGAGATCGAATGATTTAATGTTAATACACATTTTGAGTAATCCACAATACTATATAACGTAACATAACCAAACCAACCCCTAGCCAACAGCAAAGGTCTCTTAGTCTAGGCACCTCCTCCCCCCATTAATGGCTTCGACACACTCTTTGCACTATTTCCCGGGCTCCTGATCTGCTAGTCTGCCCCTGCATGTCGGTGATACAGAACAAACGGGTTAACTTCTAAAACTCACTTGAGATAAATCAGCTGCGTAAAATTGGTATAGGGGTTCGTCGGCGAATCGCATGTACAGTTCAGATCCTTGATTGGAACCTATGAACAAAAAGTAAGACCATTTAACTCGTGTAAAAATCTAAAGCCTATAACAGTGGCGTGTATAGCGAGTCTTACTGTTTTCGGATATAGATTCTGAGTTGGGTTTGTCCAATTGTGCGGAGGTCGGCCTTCCTTTGGAGTTGACAATCGAACGTGGTAGTGAACCGTGAGGGTTGTCCCCTAAACAGAAATGTATTTATACTCAAACTCTCAATTATAGGCGTATTATTGTCTTTTCAAATAAAAGCTTACCCGTAGAATGTTTTTTCACCGGCGGAGGTGGAGGTGGGGAGCTGGGTCTCGCCACGCTAAGTCGTCGAGAATCGATTGACGAAGGTGGTTTGCTAGCGTTCCTGATTGGCGCTTGTATTTGATTGTCGTTTTGCCTGTAACCAATCGACGTTTTGGGTAATTTTCAAAATGTCAATATAATTTTTCCCTTTCAATAATACTTACGTGTTTGCGTAAACCGGAGAATCGTTGTTTAAGTAGAAAATGGACGAGGATAGATTCTTGGACGGATTCATTATGAGCTCATCGGACGAACGGTATTTCTTATCACTGGACTTATCGAATATCTTGTTACCTGCAAGGAAACGGGAACATCCAGAAATTAGCCTAAGGTGTCGAGAAACGTCTTAATTTTGACTTGCCTGGGTATGACACCGTCATGTTGCCCATGCTCAGTTTCCGGATCCGGTTCAGTCCCAGTGTCCCCAGCGACCAACTCTGCTTCATGCGGTTGCCGGCCCTTTTCACCATGGGGACAAACCCGTACATGTTCGATTGACTCGGCGGGTCGGGCAACACCCGATTTTTGCACGGATAAGGTACACGATTAGTCCTGTCGTCCGAGTCCTTGCAGTCGTCCCACGAATCGTCCGTATCGAACGAATCGTAGTCGGTGTAGATCTCCTCCGGTGTCTCGTGGTTAATCGTGGCGCTCTTATTATCTTTGACTTCTAAAAAAACAAAACAAATGACATTCGACCAAAGTGTTTGTCAAGGCGGGTCAAGGTAAGACCTCTAAGGTCCGCACAAGATACACAACTTGTATGCAATCTCTGCTTGCTTTGAAACAACGTATGGGCGTTCAACTCACCATTATCAAAAAACAAAGACAGTTCTTGCGACTCAAATTTCTCGTCCGAGAATATCGTTTTCAATACTACGGTCAACTTCTGCAAACTATCGGTCGACGAGCAACGCCGGCTTTGGTATGCTTTATTGCGCTGTTCGGGGACATCTTTTACGAAGCTAATTACAGATTGCGACGATATGGATACTGCGAAAAGCATATACGTTTTCACGTGTTAAACGGGCGTAACCGCGGAAATGTAAAATTTTATGGTCAGTTGGAGCACACACACACAAACAGTATTACTAGTTTTGTTACACTCGGATTGCTATGCGGTCGAGGAGACGTTTATTTAAGTTTCATCGCGATAGCCGGTTCCACTAGATTTATACAAGCCACTGAACTCCCTTTCGAACGTTACCCACAAGACGTTAATAAAATTACTATCAATTAATAGTTTAAAAAAAAAAAAACGTTACGACCGCAGGATTATAGTTTAAAACACCGTTAGAGTTACCTCGATTGGAAATGCTATAAACTGCACGTTCCGTTTAGGAAACCGTGGAAACCTCCGTATTATGCTATACACAGTTCGTTGGCTAATCATCTATATTCTATCTCACCGGGATTGCATAACTTTGGAATTGATTAGTCATTGGAATACCACACCGTTATCCACGTGAACATATCGGGCAATAACGTTAAACTCACATTCTCAGACTCTGACTTCACACTCTCAGACTTCGGGAGACTTGTACAAGTCCTATGTAGTATGTTCATGTGTGTGTGCGTGTAAGCTCCCTTATGCAAACCTTTATCGATATAAAGAGATTTTCGGCGCCTTAGGGTTCTGGCGGGCGGCAGGGGCGGCGGCGGCGGCGATGGCGAGGACGGCAAACTACAATAGAAGGAAGACGATGGCATGACAGGCGGAGGTTTGGCGAATCGATACCGCACTGTATAGATCACTCATTTTCGTCACTGTACAAGCGATGTTTGATTTGTAACACAAGTGTCGGGCGCACTTGGCGTTGAAAGGGCAAAGCACAAAAAAATTAAAAAAACGGCAAATTCTCGACAGAAGTAAAACAAATTCTCGCACACGGCAACACGACGGCGATCAGACGTTGTGTTACACGGACGTCTGTTGCGCCGCACTTTCACTTTTCGTTTACCAGCGTTCCACGGATAAGAACAGCGGTTGTGCCGTCTCAGGACCTTGGTGTTATGTATGCGTGTATAGTTTTGTGTGTGAGCGTGTACCAGGTGGGAGTAGTACATTGTCGAGTAGGAGAACTTACACGACACCGGCCGTTGTGTTGAAAAAAAAACGCCGAGGAGGAACGTTACGCCGAGCGGTTCGGTCACGACGGACGGAGTAGGGCGCTCGTTAAACTGGTTTTTTTTTCTCGTATGATTATCATTTATATCATTTTTTTTCCATTTGTTGTATGATTATTTTGTTCCCTACGCTTAATTTCCATCTCGTCACAACCGACCCACGCGTCACAGAACAGAGCCGGCAGAACAATCAGAGCCCGTGTAATCTTCTACACTGTGTAACGCCACCGCAGTGCCTCGTTTGTTACATAAAAAACTGTTTTTCGTACCACGGCCAACTAATCATTTCGAAAACAAAATTATCATAAACGTTTTAATTGCGACAAGAAAAAAACGGTGGGGGAAAAACCCCGACGTGTACACACAATTTTACCTGGACTTTTCGTGTGAACTCAAAGACGACGAGCTCCCACCAACAAGTTGCTAGTAAACTAATTATTACCACAATGCAGTAATATATTAATTATTGATTTCGGTTGTTTGACCGGAAACGTATACATAGAAAACACTGCCGAAGACTGTTCTAGTTGAACATCCGGTACAGACATGGCTTAGTCTCATGGATTGATAGCTATTGATAGACTTTACAGGTTGTAGATAGTCAGGTTTGTTTTATTCAGTAAGACAATGAGTAATGTGTCTTTAAGACGTCTTTAGGGGGAGTCCAAAAGTAAACAACCGTTCTAATTCTTCGCATAAATTCCTGTCCGTCGCCATTTCTTTATTCAGTTCACACATAATATGAATGACTCTTTTTACAACATCTAAATTATTCTACACTCTAATTGGCGGCACTCCCAGACATAAGCGCAACTAGAGTGGGGGCTAAAGAAGTTCAAATCCTTCACGATTCCTTTCGGCTATAAAAACAATGTCAGTAACCGATCAGACATAGTCCCAGGAGTAACTTTATTAATTTTTACCGATATTCTACCACTAGTCGCACCAATTCTCTTAGACTCCGTCTTATATTATGCTCGAGTCTCATTCTGTCTAGCCAAGACCAAGTCACTCAAACATACATTTCAGCTACTTCCAATTTGCTTTCGTTTGTTTTACTCAATTTCCAACACTCACTTCCATACATCATTGTTATCTCGCTACAATTAATAATAAATATATTCCTAACATTCCTTGTTGCCTATTTTTCACCTCATCCGGTTATAACAAATTCTGCTTAACGCTGACCCTCGATGAACATCGAGCATTCTGCGCAATCGTCGGTTCAACTCGTCATAGCTCTTTAGTAAGTCACAAATAAAATGCCGTTTCAAAAATGTTATAAACATTAATTATGTTGTAGCGGTCGTCATGCATTAAAATAGAAACCATTGAAATGAGACATTGACGTTGAATGTAGGTATATATTATACGGATTTCACAAGCGAATCGGGTGACCTAATGGTAAGTCCGAACGTTTCTACAAGGTTCTTTAGGCACAATTAATATTTTCCTGGGAAATGTTAGCTCTGGCCCAATACAAAATTATAGTAGGTACGTTCTATACTTGCATGGGAAAAACTAACAAAGAAAACAAATTAAACGGAGGTTATCCGATCATTACTATAATTAATTAAACAATGTATACTTTATACGCCAATTGTCGTTTTGCTAAGTTCGTTTAGCGGTAATGTCAATATTAACGTTTTGTAAAAATTGTGAAATGTATTTTAGATATTATACAAATGGTTGGGTATCGACCATCTAAACGCATACGCAGTCAATTCTATTCCCATAAATCACATTACAAAATCCGAATCCAAACGCCAATTTTAGTGGCCCTATCGATGCAATCTATTATGCAATCATAAATAATAATATAACATAGTTGGAGGGGCCAGTTTGATGCAATTGTTTGCATGTATTAGGTTAAATTCATAATTAATACTTGTATGCTGAGGAGAACTGGCTTTTCGTCGTCACAAGAATTGTATTCGCCTCGTCGTGACCGCATTGAAATGAATAATTTTAGAAAAAAAAATTGTTATACTAGCCTTGATGCAAGTGAACGTTTATTTTTTCAACACTAATTATGAATAAAATTATTCAAAACAGCGTTTCAAGTTGTCAAACCGTCACGAGAAACAAGCAATCGGGTCGCAAAAAACATTTAGTATTTATAGGAGTATTGACACGACCAACGACATAAAAAAATCAAACGTAGGTATATTATTTCTTAATTTGAATATATATAACTCGGTAATTGCTCGGACAAGTTATTGAGTCGCCAGACAAGTCGCTTATATTTTATACACAGTTGTTGCCAGAGATTGCAGTTGACATATTAATATAAATGTCATTATATTTAATCATTTATTCAAAGATGATTTTACTTCAGTTCACCTGTCAACCAGTGCGGCCTACAACTTCTTAGACAAACATGCGCGTTGTATTGCAGTACATTAAGGCGCTATGCGATAATATCACTTACTGAATAATTTGACCACTTGAATCGACCATCCGCTCCTGACTTCCTTGGGTTTAGGTGACTTAGGTGGTATTCTAAAAAAAAAAAAACCGCAAATTGATAATTAACTTCTTATTAGCAATACTATGAAATGATCAATAAGACCGTTAGGAGCAACAACTTTAGTAAGTATACATAAAATAGTCGAGACTTTAAAATTTTAAGAAGTACTAGTTTTTTGTTAAAAACACTTTGAGTCAGTGTTGGATAAAATATTGCACTTTCTTCAAAATCAGAAACTAACACGGCAACTATTACGCCACTTTACAGAAAGTTAGCCGTGTAGAAAAACACTTATTAAGGCTAACCAGATTATAATATTATGCTGGGAATGGTACTATGCAAACGGTAGTAGCTCAAGGAATGCCTTGAATAGTTATCGTCATTAAAATATTTTAATATTTATTACCAACAAAATACAATAAAATAAAATTATACAAATCCTAACACAACAACTGACGTTGATAAAATACACACATACTATCCTCCGCCATTTTAAACGATAGGAGGTTCAGTTGAATCGTATCGTCAGTATCCTAGTTTAATATTTTATTATTGCTCATTAATTTGAATTGTTATATCTATTTATACATACACTATGATCTCTTGAAGATCGTCGGATGTGTTGTCCACGTCCACCCATTCTTCGTCCATCCATTCTTCGTTCACGTGGAACTTACTTTTACCAATAGCACTGGTACCGTCGTCCACGTAGAGCTTACTGCTACCGATAGCACTGGCGCTGTCGGCCGAAGTACCTATGAACATTTGTGTAAAGGCCAATTGGGAAATTAATATATATTTAAAAATTTACAACCAATTTAAAATCTATGTACAATCAAAAAACAATATTATAGACCGTCTGGAGAAAACGCCCAGCGGTTCGCTTTGTTTATATTTTATCAGCTATCTAGTCTAATTCTATATGATAGATCAGTGTGTGTGCGGATGTGACGCGTTTGTTTTGCAACAAATGCGTTATCAGTTGAAATACAACACACAATATTTACACGTGTATAATCAGTATAAATATGTATTATGTATATATATTATATCTCCATTCGCCGTTCACTAGATATAAAGTCAACGCCAGTAATAGTGCTATAAAAATTGAGTGCAATTATCAACATATAAAGTTAGGTGTTATAAAAACCGTCAAATCATGTAAAACTGACGTTGGGTGGATAGTTTTACTGGTATAATATATACTTTCTAAAATGCCTAAAGGTTATACGTTATAGGTACCTAAATTCTATTTAAAATTAATATTATACAGTGAGATCTACGAGGTTCTATAAAAATGACCTAGAAGGGAAATTTGTAATGAGAAAATACATACACCGGTATTGTTTTGATAAATAGAATTGAACATTATTCCGCATATAAAGATGGATAAAGAAAATGTTTAAATTTCATCTGAGAGGAAAGGCTTAATGATAATATTAAATGAACTATTTATCAGTTAATTTGGCCTGATTTCCACATTGCTCAGACGTATTAAATGCTATTTATATAAACCATACAACAAGTTAGTTTTGTAGAAAATTGTGTTGTATAATAATTCGTGTGTATTATTATGTTTGTATTTTTTTTACAGCTAAGGGAATATTTTATATTTTCCAAACTTTCTAGTCTTAACAGCCGGTATCGTCCGAAAGAGCAAAAATCTCTTTGATCGTTCCTTATAAACATGACATGCAAGGTGTTAAAATAAACGTAATTATATTTTTGGAGAATTGCCTAAGTATAGAAAACGCGTCCTGGCACGATAAAAAATAATTATTAATTTACGTTATGCGCTTACCTGAAGAATTGCTTTCCGAAGGACTGAATCGTTCATTGTACATACTGTTGTATATCTCCTCGCAACTGTCATATGACTCTTCCTTGTCAAGTTCCGGCAGTGTAATATCGACGGGGTGGAATTCCGTCGTGTCGGTATCCGCGACTTTCGACTGGACAGTCGTTGGCGTCTGTATCTGTGGCTGCGGGGCCGGCGGTGGTGGCGGCGGCGGAGGAGGTGGCGGTGGAGCTTCTACTGTCTCGTAGCTGTCCTCTTGCTGTTGTTTGTAGTGTCTGCGGTTCGGATTTGTCGACGTAATCACGTCGTCGTAAATGTTCTGGTCGCTGCTGTCGATGGTCGTGTAATGATGATCGCCCGGATCGTAATAAGTATTTTCCAGCACGACGTCCGGCGGCGGCTTCGGTTCGGCCTTTTCCTGGAGCTCTTCGTAAATGGCCTGCGGCTCGACGATGTCATTGTAGTCGTGCTGCTGACCGACGGCGTCCGGTTTTTTTTTATAAGTGTGTAAGAAACTGTTCTGCATCGTTTGCCAGACAGGCGGTTCTTCGTTCGGCCTGTCACAAATTTCGTCGATGGCCGGTTCGACGGTCGTGGACGGCGTCTCGACGATTATTGTCGACTCGACGGGTTCGGCGACGGGGCTGGTCGGCGTCGGTTGCTCGACCGGTCGCGTTCGACTGTGCAAAAATGAAGTGTTGACAATCTGTGGCGGTGGTATGGCATTGAGTACGCTCTCCAGTTGGGCATCCGGATCTCTGGCTATGGACAACCGCTTGTGTTTGGCCGACAGATGGACGTCCGGCACCGGTAACGCAGCGTCTTTGGCCGATTGCTGCAGCCTCTTTTGTGGCTTCTGAAAGCTGGGTTTGGGCGTCGGAACATCGGGTTTCTCAGTCTTTTGGAACAGTTCCATACGGAGTTTGACTATGGACGGCCGTGGTGCGGTAATGACCTGGCTCTGTTCGAATGTCGGTCGACGGCGTACCGAGTTCGTCCGCACCACAACCATTCTGTTCTGTTTTTTGTCGGCCGATTCGAATTTCTCCACCGTGGCCCGCACCGCCGCGCCGTTGGCCAGCGACTTGTTCACTCGCTTGACGATATCCCGGGCCGTGTCCCCCTGTACCGTGTCCACGATGATGGCGTTGAACTTGGTCGCCAGTTCGGTGACCACCGTGGACGGCACCGTCACCCGGTAACCGCGAACTTCATTGGCGGTCTGGTGATGAGAACCGGCACCGCCGCGGGACTTGAGGCTCGGTCGTTTGATCTTGCCGCCGCCGCCACCTCCAACCCCTCCACCGCCGTGAGCCGCCGCCATCGGACTCAGTGCCGTTTCGGTAGTCATCATACGCGATGCATTACCAACAACACACCTGAAACAACAATAAAACCGTTATCTTCGTGTAATTAAAATATATTAAACCGAGACTAGATATTTTTTCCCCCAAATAGGCGTAACTTGAAAAATACAAAAACCACATTCGCGTCGAAGTTAAAAAAAAACTCCCATTTAATTAGCTTATACTGACTTATCATAAAATATCTAGTTCGAACAAAGTAGCAACATGTTTTCTAAGTTTCTGTGTAGTTTTTGGACCATAATAATATGCAATTCCAATATAAAACTATACATAATTGTCGAAGTCCGTATAAAATTGCTCAATCGTTTGTACCCATACTGACCGGTCAATTGTATTCGAAATTGACCACCAAAGATTTCATTGGATTTAATAGCGTTCACGTAAAAACAATTTAATTCTCGTCGTAAAATGTGACATTGAAAAAGTAATTTAAAAATCAATTAGAAAACACTTAAAAGCGGTACCTACGCCCAAATGATAAAGTATAAAAAATCACAAACACCGGTGAAACCGTCTTAATGACTATATATACCTATATACATATATGATTGAATTTAAAACGTTGTACAACAGGATGTTGTAATAAGGCTAAAACAAAATTGTATTTTTATATTTTTTTTTTGTACAATTTCATAAAATTGTCAAACTAAGATTTATTATTAACGGAGTAACCCGTGATTTTCACAACTTTTGACCTCGGTATAGTTTCACTATTGTGCGTTAAAGAACAAGCATAAATCACATTTATTTTCTACAGTGACTTTTGTTCGCGGTGCAGAGCCTAAGGAATCCTTTTGACTTAAAATTACCCAAGGGTGTTCACGCCAGGTGACTCTTAGTGTTCGTTGTTGCAACACACGTGGCCGCTCAGACTTGAAATAATAATATTATTATTTTTATTGTTAATACCAGTACGGCGGTTGTTTTCCCGATGGCATGATTTAAATGTGAAATTCTCAAGTAATAACAAAATCGACAAAACAATCGCAATGCGGCGAACAAAGAAAAATAACATCTAACTCTATATTATAATTATTATTATGACCAGTCTTCTTCGGTCCGGTCGTGCTCACATTGACAGTGTGTTTATGTATGTAATTGTCAACCGGGTAATTATTACATAATACAATTAATGTGTATTACAAAATAGTCGAGGTTTCTTCGTTTGACGACGAACGTTAGTTGCCCGGGTAAAGGTTAACTATATTATATCATCGAATAATATACAACAGTATTATTCTAGTAAGTGACCGCGGCTAACCCCGTTCTCTAAGTTCGAGAACCAGATACAACATGTATGATAATATTGTTGCACTACTATTCCAACACTTAATTAAATTCAGATATCGACACGCATTCGTTTGCAGAGTTCTCACGCAACGGGCGAACAAATTATACCGCCCGGTGTTGTTGTATTAGTAACGATAATAATATAAAAATATAATATATATCTAAATGTTTAATAATAAGGAAAAACGTGTGTCAAATGTGTGTGAGGAGGGCACGACTTCTGCGATTTCTAAAATCGTTAATGGAACGTACCTGACAAGAGTCAACGGTGAAACGCTTGTAACTAGACTAGTATTTTTTTTGTTGAAAAAATATAATAAAATATTGAGCGCTACGGAGGGGCAAACGGGGGTGATGTAAAGTATCATAATAGTCATTTCGATGGCGTGCTAAAAGCGCCAATAACGCGAAACACACATAATGTAAAAGAATCTAGCCAAAATTTTGAGACAAAAAAAAAAAGTCTGTGTATATAAGGTGTAGTGTTATTTTCCAAACGTACAGAAAACGGACTGACTACGACCCGAAAGGCGAAAACACAACGTTGGCACCCAAACAAGATTGCTAACTATTTTATTCGGCGGCCAGAGAAAACTAGGAGAAGTTCTAAAAATAATTGAGACATTAATTATTTCTATAATACAGCGTCGTCTGGCAGTGATAATAATATTAATAAAAATATTCACATTCATTGACAACCGTGGAATGTGAAGTGATAAAATTCAAGCGTGTCTTTCCTGAAAATCAATTAATTACTCTTCATTTTCTAAACTTTCCGGTAAAAAACGACCTCAATTTTCCAACCACCGTCTCCTTCCCTCCATCTCAAACTGGATCATATTACCATAATCGAATATAATATATTTGTATAAATTGCAACCTAGATATTTTATTCGCTTGGTTGTCTAAACGAGAACGATCTGTCGAAGACTCATGTCGGATTAAACTAGAATATAAATATCATATATTATAGATATTTACTTTGAAGTGTATTTTTATTTCTTAGACTGTTTAGACTGTCTATCGACCGGATTGTTATTTCTAAAACCGAAAACGTTTTGTGATTCGAGAAGAAATTTTTCAACAATACTTGCAAATCATTATTACCCGTTGAATCCTTTAAAATTTCATCATCTTGTTATTATGTATGTACATGTGTCGCCCGACGGCGGCGTAGGAGTTGACGGTAGAACGTATAACCTTATGAAGGCCTCGTCCAAGTGGCAAAGACCTCGGAGAGGCAGCGGCCAATACATATACATTATTATTATTATTATTATCATTATATATTATGGCCGAAGTCATCGAACTCTCCTCTCGCGAAAACACATGTCCCACTGCCGCGTGTACCACACACAACACTATATCATACTCATATTATAGTCGTCGTTTATGTTATTCGAAGGCTCCAAAAAAACGCAATGGTATACACTAGGAGCGCCTCTCCCCCCCCCCTCTTGAGAAATGTTTAAATTACGGTTTTTTTTTCATGTTTACATTGTACAGCGTTATGTCAATGAATTTTCGGTGCATTGTGTTGAAATGATCGTCAAGATAATAAATGTTAATAACAAAGATCATAATATAGTTTGTGACGAAAACAATCAATCAAACCAATTTTCCTACCCCCTCCTTTTGGACTTCTTCTATGTAGTTCCAGTATATTATACTGAACGGGTTAGGAAGTCTCGGCTAAGTCATATTATTATTGCTTCCGTATGAGTATATAGAAAAGACGAAATTCGACTGACCCAGATGTGTTGTTTTTTGTCTGTTTAGCGTTGAGAAAAACAAATAATCAAAACCAAAACTACTACATCGGTCGGACACACACAGTATTCGCTTTGCGTTCGGCGTGTGTTTGATGTGCCAAAAAAAAATGTTGTCTTGTATACAAACAGGCTGTAACGGGAACGCGAATTCTCTATACCACAATTATAATAGTGCGCCTGATATCCAACAGACAAAGATAGAATCGGAAACTGTATAATAATATGCCCGACAAGACAATGTGTAAAATATGTTGCAATAGTTTGAAGGGGTAACTTAAAAATCAAAAAGCGCATAACTTGTGTAGGTATTAGATTTATCTATGAAGATCAAATAACGAAAATAATAACCCGTTTTGGATACATTTCGAGTTATTAGCGATGAAAGGTATAGGCGAGTATTGAATGGGGGGGGGGGGTGTGTGGAGGGTGAGTTAAGGTTATTTTTTGTCCGCACGCTCTACCCACCTACACTTCACTCCTCGCCAATACCTTAAAATTGTAATATACCTCAATAAGCAACATTATCCAAATATACTGGTTATCGACCAATTATTTAATTACATCTTTTTATTTTGCTCTACATAGGTTGCTATTTTAATTGAGAAAAGTTTCCCCACTAAAACTACCCTTACAACAATAATTTCAACTGTTTTTGTTCATTCGACAGAATACAAATTTTAATTTGCTTAATTTTTTTAGTTTGTAAGACTATGTTTCATCGGAAACATTAACCTAATCTAACTATTTTGTACAGATTATGAATCACGTCGATTAGCGTTTCCCCATGTACGTTTTTCGTTAATTATTATTATCGAACAACACCACCTTCTGTTTCGCATTGTGTTAAACAAAAACAAGAGACTTATTTATATTACTAATCAATAATCATATAAGATTGGCGAACACATTACAGCGATATCTACATTATTATTATTCAATTCAGACGCGCTTTGTGACTAGTTAACACAGTGTACGTGACACAAGTAAACCCACTTCAAACCATTGAAATTCCAAATGGTTAATCGCAAAAATAATCATTTCTTTGCCCGTTGTATTAAAAGTTTATTTTTACAATTATATTGTAACCGTATACACCAACCAGGGTTGTATGTAATATTTCATTTATAATCAATTTTAATAATCTAATTAAATGGCTAGCTGCTAGTAAGCATAATGGTGTGCATAACTTATCGCTGTTCGACGAATGAAAGCAAATAAAACACAGTTATCGATTAGTGAGAAATTTAAATTAGATTTTTTTTTTAAATCAATCTACAGTGGAGGTTAAGGGTATTCTACATATCGATGGAAAGGAGTGGTTGGCAACACATTTTATTAGCTAAAGAACACTGAAGTGGTGAACATAGTTTTAGAACTTTTCGTTGGGGTTTATCAAATATGGTCGCAGATAAAAGGCACCGTTCTCTGACTTAAGGCGATACATTAACCGCACGTTTTACGCCAATGCCAGTAGTATTCAATTTGACTTGATAATTAGAAACTGGTTTATTATTGTGTTCCGATGGCAAAACATTAACGGTCCGTACTACAAAAGGAACAAAAACTTTAATTTTTGACAAAGACATTACTATTTGTCTCCTCGCGAGACCGTATCAATCGTCGTCACCCATCAAAATGAAAAATAATAGTCGCCACAAAGAAAATATTGTATCGGAGTTGTGAATTATGTATTGACCTTGAAAAAGATTGTTATAGTTTTGTTATAGTGTTCTAAAGAATGTTTCGAGAAGATTATAGTAATCGAATATTTATAAAATGCTTATATAGATGTCTGGCTGTGAGCCGAACAAAATAATACAGCAAATGCAAAGAAGTAAATCAAGAATACATGTTCGTAAATTGCCAACAGTTAATAAATACATTTAAAAAATATATATATATATTTTTTTACAGCGAAAACAATTTTAAATAAGACTACTGGCCGATGTATGATAGTCAAAACACATGATTATATACAGCAAATAATAATCGATATTGTTTCATACGGTACTCATTTGAGGTCACCATATTTTTTAGCTAGAAGTGAGCAAAAAAAAAAAGTGTCGTCTCGTTACAATAAAATCAGTATAACGTGGGATACGATAGTGATAAGAATGGAGATTAACAAGGGATGAATCAGCCTATAACATATATGATAAGAATGTCAAGTCGGGTAATGAGTCGGCTATGGTTAGGTCAGCGTTTTCCGTTAAAGCCAGATTACGGTAATAATTTTTGTCTCCTTATCATCAGCTAAGCCGACAGATACATAGTTGTATCAAAAACTTTCCGTCATCAACCAAAAATTATTTTAATTAATTTTATTACTTTAGAAACTTGGCCCCGGGGATTGTCGTTTTATGACTAACGATCAAAACACAACGTTGTCTCATCATACTTTGACGGTTTGTAAAAGGTAAGTATACAAGCACGACAATAAAGCATTGATTTTGCTGTTTCACTGGCCCTTTGTTTAGATTCACGTCCGATTAGAATAACCACTGTGCATAGTAAAACAGAATAAAGAGTTAGAAAGTGTATTTCGATCAATAATAATCGTTTTTACAAACATCCATTGAACCATACCATCATCTACGCCGAGTATAATATAATATTGTTTGTTTTGGAAAGAAGCTGAAGCGGTGAGCGCAGACGATGCATAAGAATTATCATAACGTTTCCAAAATGTTTAAGCGTTATGAATCCCGTCACTCTGCGTCTGCATGAACCAATAATAGAAATAATAATAAAAAAAATAATAGTAACAATAATAATAATATCTGCAGACGTACACAAATAGAGAAAGTGACGATTTAACATCATTAAATTGAACATGATATTATTATTATTGTTGTTATGTACATAGACACACAAATTTGAAAAAGAGAAATATAATTTTGCGGTTACACTTTTTTTTTTTACATCATGTTAGGTACCTAACCTACCCAGCCGTTTATTATCTCGACCAACACCACACACAATCATCTCTCTTTCTGTGGAAATTATTTGTATTGTAAATAAATATAATATGTTAAATCCGGAAATAGACGATCGTAGATATGATTGGTTCATCTTTTTTGTAAAAATATTTTCATTTTTTTATTTTTATTAAGGTACCGCAAAAAATAAATATGTATTATATTGAACATAGTACACACCGATCATCATATTATAATATGTCGGTTTTTCGATACACTGCAATGGGAGTTAGACTTCATAATATAATCCATATAGGTAAATACCGGAAAACCCACAGAAGCCATCCTCGTGCGTATACACTGAACTGTTTCGTTTTGTGTTTCATATATTTCACACGGGTAAACACATTAAACTGTAATAGGTATATCGTTTAGTAGGGTAGTATGCACCAATAATTCCGCGCTCATCGTATTTCACTATTTTCAAGAACCATCAGTCCTATGGTTTCAATAACTAACTAAATACCCAACATATATTATAATATATGGAATTTACATTATGTTATAATATAATTTCTGTTTTGACGAGGTTTGGTGGAAAACATTGATATATCCAATTATATTATGTGATTAGTGAATTGTGATAATATTGTTTGATTCCAGATTATATAGTTGTTCGAGTATTTTAACATTGTTTTTTTTTTGCTGTGTTGGTAAAAACTAATAACTTTAATCATTGACAACAGTACTAATAATATTATTTTAAATCAAATTTATCATGGAATATTATAATTTAAAGTGGCCACTTTTAAAACAAACCGTTTAATATCTCGTGTTCAGTATACAAGTTATCGTAATACTTATTGTGTAGAAATTAAGAACAATCATGAGAGACTTAACGGCTACAAACCGCTTTGTAGAGGCGTAGGTAATGTGTTCTAACAACTATAAATACTACACCAATGTAAACAAAACAATAATAGTATTGTGCTCCAAATGAAAAACAATACCATAACGTGGGAAAAATATAAATCACTATACTAATATTATACACTAGCCATTATAATAAATCGATAATATAACGTATGGTTTGATACACATTTTTACAAATAAGTGAAATTTTCAAATGCTATTTACAGACACAATGTTATGTCGTTGGTTAATGGGGTACAGGTAATTAAATTGCATTTCTGATTTAAAAGTAATTCAATGATATTGACTATGGTGTAATGACTTTCACTGGACTTACTTAATAAAATCATCCAATGTAGTTTCACAGATCATTTGAAGACTCAATAGGCAGGTATAATGGACCAACAAATGGCCGCCGTGTTGTTTAGTTGTTATTGAATTTAGATAGTATGAAATCACAACACGCACACACTAAAAATAAAACATTATTCTTTTAACACTATAGTAAATGCACCTATTGTATAGCCATATTAAATTTTGATCATTTTTTCATTTATAGAATGAAATAATCAACATTTTTTAGTAATTATACAATAGAATTAATTTCATATTATTTTGAGAAACAAAGCTCACTGTTATCGAAATCAAAATATAAAATACTATCTCCTATTATATTACAATATATAATCTAAGGGAAAATTAGTAACTAACTGTTATCCTAATGTTTTTAATAACTCAATTGTGTAACTATACCGTTCTTTCCAATAAATGTTAAGTGGATACGATAAATATTGTCTTATGAATGTTGTCCATGTATTGCATATTTTATACTTGACTAGTTTAACAATAAAATATTTAGTGCTCACAAAGTTATGTTAAAGTAGAATAAACTCACGTGCACTTGCATTAATTAAATAGAAAAAATATTCACTCTTTAGGTAATCATATTGACAGAATACGTGTAATGGGATAACACCGTATTATTAGGGCGTACATTATACAATTATTTAAATACAATATTTTTCCCAACATCTAAAAATCTCATAGCCGTTAAACAAATAATTTCATTGTACTGAGATTCCGGGTCAAAACTTTCTGTCAGCTGTTATAGAAATCAGAAATGTTAATTACATGTGGATTAATCACAGCGGATATTCCCATGTTGTCGGTTAAATTGACTTAAGTTTCAATGTCTACTTCCTCTTCCCAGTGTTTATAAAATTTACTTTCGAGTACATACAGACAAATTAAATGTTACGCAATCAATTTATTTTAAATTTTAGATTTACACCAAATATTAATTAAGCACAGCGATTGGAATACAATACTAAACAGATTGTTTGTAAAAAATATTTTAGCAAATTAAAAAAAATATTTAAAGTATTATACCATTTGACAATCGTTATTGCTGTATGGGTTCTTTTCAGAGTTGGGACGTATTAAAAGAAGTATCAATATTTTCTGTGTTGACAGAAAATATAATAAGTATATTATTTGTTTTTCTATGTATAATTATTAGATTTACAGGTGGAAATATTATTGAAACGTCTGAAGTGTCATTAACATTTCTAGTCAAAACATGAAATGGGAAAATATAAAAAATATTGTGACAATAATTAGGTATAATAGAATATTGAATTTTCATTGAAGCACAAAAATATTTTAAAAACAAATTGTTGCAGTATCCGGCTGTATGACGTTAAATATGGAATAAACTTCACATTTTTTTCGCCGACAATAATCCTGGAGTAAGAATCACTAAAAGTCATCGGGTATTTACTACTAAAAAATATAATTTAATATATTGACGATTTTTCAGCTTCGATGGGAAGCAGCTGAGAAGGTGTTTTTTATTTTAGACTTGTTTTTGTTTTAAGCGTTGTGGCGTCAATTCCTATACATACACATGTAATATTATTACTAACGGGAAGCGCACATTGTTTTTAGTATCAATTGTTTTTGTTCGAGCACATTGGATCACGTAGCTATCGCCAACCGGTGTCCTTGGGGGCCGTACACAATATTAATATCATTATGAGGATTTCTTATTCATCGCGTTCTTTCCTTAAGTATTCTTTCGGACTATAGGTCACACAGGCATCATGTATTTGTTGTTGTTGTTGTTGTTGTATTTAATAATTATGATAGAGGTGTATAATATATAGGTATAGTCAAAGTCGAGCTCAATTCGGAGCTGGATTTCACCACTGATTAGCTGAGCAGAAGGCTGATTAGTAGAAAGATCCAGCTGCGGTCAATGTCTTTTGACAGTAATGACCGTTGCTGCTGCTGCAAATTTTAATGGTTATACACGTTTAGGGGAAAAATAATTATGATCCACATAAACACTATAAAGCTATCACATAATATACAGGACTACGGTTACTACTGTGTGCACTACTATATTATCACTGCTATGGTCTTACAAGTCTGGAGGAAAATTCGAAAGACGATCATTACGTATGTACCTTGGACCTTTCACTGTTAATGCGTTTTTACTCGCATTAGAAAAACAGTTGAGCGTGCCATACATTAGGTACAAAGTTGATTTTTTTTTTCATCGTTATACTTATTTGATTATAAGCAATAATGGGTTCGATGAGGTATTTTAGATTGTAAAAAGTGAAAATTAAATTGCATTGTGATTTGTGCGGTAAAATTATTGTTATAGTGTGTGTGTGTGCGCCTATAGATAATTGTCTATGGAATACAATACATCAATGCATTGTTACACCGCAAACAAAAAAAAAATGTCTAGGCGGCATTGCCGAATAAAAGCGCTGCAAGACAAGCCGGTTGTTTTGATGCGCAAAATCAATGTCTTTGCAACAGAGGAAGTAATAATTTCTTGAGTCATTTTATGGTTACTTTTAAATATATGTAATTGGTTGTTTGCTATCAAGTCCGACTGGGTACTATCGGCTTGAAAGGTTGGGTATCTAAACTGCATATATGAAACTATGATAATTATAAATTACTAATTAAATAATTTTTTTAACTTTCCACACATTCATTAGTTATGAAGTTTCTAAAAAGTAGTGCGGACGTAGCATAGTGTATTCGGAGAGGTCATAGGTCTTCAGGAATTATTATAACTAAAAAATGATAAAATCACTCTTGAAAAAAAAGCTTCGATGTAATCTATAAATGGTAAAATAATATATATTATATAGGTATGCTTTATTTGAAGTACCTACATTTCGAGTATGATCTCTTATCTATGGACTTGCCGTATGAAGAAGTCGGTCCATCGGTATAATAAATTTATGATGTCTTGTCACAGGAAAAAAATTACCTCATGGTAAACTAATACACCGCATCAAAGCTAAATTACATTTACTAATCGTTTGTAAATGTCTTTAACGATTTTTCGCTTTAACTTATTGTTGGTAAATTTTTAGTTGGATATTGCCTACTAAAAAATATAACATAACAATGTATTCTTACATTCAAAAAGTATAACAATAAATTAAAAAAAAAAAAAACTATTTTTAATTAAGATTTGAGCGTGGTAACATAAACAGTATTAATGTAATTGTGAGTTTATGCATAAATATACACACAGTCAGCAAAATATAAAATTGTTATTTAAATTACATCTTGCAAATGCACTTATGTTTTTCAATTAAAAATATTTTAAAATTGTAAAAAAAAAAATGTATGATGAGTAATACAGAAATAGATAAATGAGTAAAAGTGTAACAAAAAAAATAGTATGACACCATCATTATCGATTTTTTTTGAGCATTTGTAAAGTAATAAACATGATTTGCTGTTATGTTTAAAAAAATGTATTAAATTAGTGGACATAGAATTAAATTATTATAATTTATCATGTTGGTCTTTATCAAACTTCATAACGGCGTTATAAAATCTAAATTTATTTTGTATTCAAGGGCTTCAAGTGTCTTTAAATACATTAGTTATTCAAGTGCTTCCAGTAGCTCCCACGCTGTCCAGTACGGGTCAGATAAAAAATTTAAATGGAAAGTCTTGACACCAAATATCAATAATACAATATAACTTTACATTAACCGTTTATGTATATCAATTAAATTGTTATTGGAAATAGCTATTCTTATGTTAGGTACTTAGATAAGTTACTATATTATTTTAACTACAAACTTTTGAAAACAAATCTATATTTTGTACTTGGTTAAACCACTATAACAACCTAATATTTAACCGATAACGTAATAATTGTTACAATGGCTCATTATATTTTTAGCAGGTATACTTTAATTTTATTCTGGTTATTATCTATAATATTATGACTTATGACTGAATTGCATAGGTATTAAGAATTTCCTGAGGCCAAAATGTTGAGTGTTATTTTATTACTATGAAATGTTATTAGTAGTTATCAATATAGATACTTAATGATACACACGGTGTTTAAGTTATGAATAATCCACATAAGTTATCTAAGTCTATTGTTAGTCATAAGTTAGCAAGACCATTTTTGTGATGGATATATAATATATGTTTAACTTTTTTATTTATTTACTTCTTTCAATTATAAATGTAACCAATGTAAAATATACTATCCATTTTTTTAATTTACGATATATGTTATATATTGTTTTAATATGTAATATGTTGCGTTAAAAGTTCATTTAATATGATTTACATAAGTCTGGTGTTCTTATTTAAAAACAATATCATAGCGTTTGCGTTCGAATTTGGGGGTTAAGTTTAAGTTCTATACTTGGGAGTTTTTTCATTTCCTCTTGAAACTAAGCTTTCAACAATATTTAACTTTAATAATTTTGATTTTATGTACATTAAAAAATTATGTACTTAAAAAAAATATAACAATGTAAAACAAAAGAGTAGTTATACAAGTCGGTTCTTTGTGTTCGTTCAAACAACATTTTTGTAAAAAAAAGTCTATCGGTTAAATCTTATAAATTATTTTTTTTAATGTAAACATCATGCGTTGGTTTTGTACTAGCTGTCTGGCAAAGTAATAATTAAATGACCGGTCTCTTTGGAATTTTTTAAACCGGAATCATGGGAGATTACACATTTCTCAAACGCAGTATAAATCAACGATTGTATTTTAAATAATAATATTATATAATTTGCTTTCTATAACGGACCTATATGGTTTGTCAATTTATATAAACATTAATAATTAATATTAAAATATGTTATAGTATTATATATCCATATATGTGATTCATGATCACAATATTGTATTATTGCGTGTTAATATATTTCACATTTTTATTTTATTTATTTAATTTGTTTATGCTCAATTAAATTAAATTTTATAAAAAAAACCGTTTCTAATAACCTCCAGATAATTTGATATTTAAAAAAATAATTACGCGCTTGACTATACGACCACGACCGCGATCACAGTCTTCACAGAAGTTTGCCGGAGCGTACAATATAATACTATTATTAAATACCAGAAACCGAAGAGAAGTAAGCTCGTTTAAAATGAATGATTACCCAAGTTTTTT